GTGGGGGTTCACCTGTTGGGCACCATCCCACATGGTGCAAGTCACCAAGCATTGTTCCAGGTAGCTAGTGTGCCCACTGAAAACACAGTGACTTTAAACAATAACCATTATTTTATTATGATCATTTATGGTTCTGGGGACTGACAGGACTCAGGTCAGTGGTCTACACGCAGGGGTCTCTTTCTGTTCGGTCAGACAATGGCTGGGGCTGGGCGGGGCTGTCCCAAGGGTGCTTCTCTCCTGGTCTAGCACCAAGGATGGGGAGCCTTGAACAGCTGGGGTGGGAACAGCTGGCGCTCCTCAGGCGTTTGTGCCTGTGTGCACTTGGTCTTTCCACAGGATGGCTTCCGGGGAGCCAGATGCACACAGGAACTCAGGCAGCCGTGTGCCAAGCCAGCACACACTGGCAAAGGCCAGTTAACTGTCACATCCCTTTCCAGTTCATGGACTTCGCACGGGCAGCTTGTAACCAGCCTCAGCTATAGTTTACACCACAGAAAGCAGCACATGCTATAAAGCCAAGTTCCCCACCCCACCAGTTGCTGACCGCTTTGCATTTGGCAGCAACCCCGGGCCCCAAGGCTCGTGTCCCTCTCAGAACACTGCCTCAGAAGTCCCTGAGCAGTGTTCCCTCTTTAGTGCTCTGAGAGTTAAGCCAGTCACAGAGACCAGTGCCAAAGACAGCATGTGGGCCTCACAGTTTAATAAGGAACAAAACTGTGGAAGAACAGGAAATGGCACTGTGGCCAGCTTTGGAAACTGTGGCCTACCACACATAGTGTCACCCATCCCTGGAAACTCAGTATCAGGGGTATCCCCAGGTACCATGACAATGTTTTACAATTGTATTTTATTCTGTGGTACTGGGGATTGAATCCAGGGCCGTTGCACTGATCTAGATTCCCAGCTTTCTGTAAATATTTTTATTGAATTTTGAGACAAGGTCTCACTAGGTTGCTAAATGACCCATACTCGTCTCAAACTCGCAATTCTCCCACCTCAGCCTGGGATTATTACAAAGCTTGTGCCAGAGCACCCAGCTTGTGACTACTGATAATAACCTCCCCCAAACACACTCACTCCCCAGTGCCTGGGCAGAGGTGGTGCCAGGCCTTATTTGCCCTGGACTAAGGCTGCAAGTAATTCACATTCAGCCATGGGGACAGGGTAGGGAGCACCGCCAATAAGCAACTTGTATACTTTGTATAGTGCCACTGAGGGACCATGAGCTATTTTTTTTCCACTTGTTTATTTATTTATTTTAAATTCTTTTATTGGTACATTTTAGGTATACAACACATTTACATTTCTCATTGGGAACTTGTACCTTTACATGATTCATCTTGGTTCTTATTTTTTTCCTATTCCTAGCCCTTCCTTCACCCCCTCCACCCATCCCTATTTACAAAGACTTTGTTTCCATTTTTTCCATTTCTCATAATTTTTCCATCCACTTATTTATTTATTTAGGTTTTTGGGACAGGGTCTCACTATGTCCTCCAGGCTGGCCTTGAACTCACAGTGATCCTCCTGCCTCAGCCTCCCGAGTGCTGGGATTACAGGTGTGCACCACTGCACCTGGCCTGAGCCATGCTTCTTGCTCCTTGGTGAAGTTTGGCTGCCCTCACTAGCCACCCCAGCCCCAGATGCCCCTTGATCACCAGTGACAGCACACTCCTGAGAAGAGCAGACCAGGGGACTAAACTCTGGGGGCTCTCACATCCCTGCCAGGCAAACCAGTGGACTTGCTTTTAAGTCGTAGGTAATTATCAGTGCAGCTAACAGCCACCCGGAGAAAAGCAGTTTAGTCTGAGAGCAGCAGGTCTTCCCAGCTTCTGTCTTTCTGTGGCAGGAGTAAAGGCAGGGTCAGGATTTTTGCTATATCCACAGGCCACTTACCTGAGAGAAACATCTTCCTTCTTTCTTCTTAATTTTTTTTTAACAAAACCTTGACTGGGGCCAAGGATTTAGCTCAGTGGTTCCACTGACTGCCCCACAAGCACAAGGACCTGAGTTCGATCTCGGGTACCAAAAAAAAACCTTGATCGGTCCACTTGAGGATAATCCCAGCTATGGAGAAGGGCACACTCCCAGGCAGATGCATACCAAGCATTACCACACAGGAGCCTCTTAAACTGGGGCAACCTAGAAGGAGTGAGTCACCTATTAAACAAGATCATGGGGTTTGAGAGCTGATCCAGCTTAGATGCACAGCACGGTGCCTCCCTAAGGGCCAGTAAATGTCACCACACGAAAATATCACAGCTACATAGTTGCCTGTCACTTTTTTCCATGTGTAATAACAATAATAGCCACCGACAATATTAGATAATTAGCACTCTTCCTTATGAACCCCAAGCACTTTTCCTAAGTGTCTTACAAATATTAACCACGTCGTCCCTATAAAGTAGGCAGCATTAACACGGCCATATTTAGAAGGGGAAACTGAAGCAAGGAGACACTAACGACACAAGTGACTTGCTCCTGGTCATACCAGTAAGAGAAGCATCCGGGGGAGTGGCCACAGGCAGGCAGGGTGGGCCCAGTGCTGTTCTCTCCTCACAAGGCTGCTCCATGCCTCCGAGGACAAGGTTGTGACATGAGTGTCTTTCCAGGCCTTGGTCTGGCCCCTGAGCTTCTGTTCAATAAAGGTGTCTGTGTCACCTCATCATGCATCTGTATAACATCAGTTTTCCCATCTGTGAAATGGGGATTTTGTTTTGTTTTTTCGGTGCTGAGGATGGAACTGAGAGCCTCACAACTGCCAGGAAAGTGCTCTACCACAGAACCACACCCCAGCCGCCACACTGGGCTTCTCCCATGATGCTTCAGTCATTTGCTTATTTGACATCTCCTTACTGAATGTTTATGATGTGTCAGGCACTGTCCTAGGCACTGGGGTTCGCAGGGTGCAAAAGAAACAATTTCTGCACTTATAGTGATTACTGTGTAGTTGGTGAGACAGCCAATAAAGATAAATAAGTCACAGTTATTTGTTAGAAGTTCGAAGTTATGTGTTAGAAGTTGATAAGAGCTTAAGAGATGAAAGGAAAGGGAAACAAGTCAGGGAAGGTGATGCACACCTGTGATCCCAGCACTCTGGGAGGCTGAGGCAAGAAGATTGCAAATTCAAAGCCACCCTGGGCAATTTAGGGATTAGTAAGACCCTGTCTTAAAATTAGGTGGGGAGGAGCTGGGGTGTAGTTTAGTGTAAAGGCCCTGAGTTCAATCTCCAGTGCAGAAAGAAAGAAAAGGAAAGAAGGTAGGGGAGAGTGAAAAGGTGAGAGGGGAGAAGGGCAGGACAGAGAAGAGCGGGAATGGGACAGGGATTTAGCTCAGTGGTTCTGCTGCCTGCTTCGCAAGCATAAGGTCCCAAGTTCGATCCCCAGTACCAAAAAAATGAAACAAAACAGAGAAGAGTGGGGAGGTGTGAAACAGTTGTCTAAGGGAGAGATGGGGGAAAGAGAAATGTAATCTGATTGCCAGGCAGCATTAGGAACCAGCTCACGTTCACATTCACAGACTTTAGGTGAGAGGGGCCCAGGAGTTGTGCTGATCTCCAGCCACCTCAGAGTGTGTGGGTACAGGCACGGGGTGTGTGGGTGTGTGTGCACGCGTGTGTGTGCAGGGCTGGATTTAACCAGTGTGTTTTCGGAGGAAGTCAAGGGGGCAAGGGTGTATGCAAAGAATGTTTTTTTGTTTTGTTTTGTTTTATTGAGGCAAGGTCTCCATTTGTAGTTCAGGCTGGCCCAGGACTGTGTAGCGCAAGCCTTGCCTCGAACTCACAGAGATCGATCCTCCTGCCTCAGCCTCCAGAGAGCTGGTATTACAGGCATGCACCAACATACCCTGGCTTGCAAAGAATGTTTTTGTTTGGTTTTGGGTACTGGGGATTGAACTCAGGACCTTGCACTTTTGAGGCAGATGGCACCACTGAGCTAAATCCCCAGCCTACAAAGAATGTTTTAATGCTTATGGAATTTAAACTGCATGAGGAAGAAAAGAGAGCAGCAGCAGAGAGGGGCAGTGCAGAGGAGGGAATCACAGGCACTGGAAGGACTGTGGGCCTCTGGGACACTGGAGGGAGTGAGATAGAGCAGGGGTAATGAATGGAGAGTAACTGTGTAAAATGAGTCCTGAAGAGGCTGCTGTCATTGAAGCAAGGCCTACTGTGACTCTGAGGACAAGGTCACTGTAGAAGAGGTCAGGGAACTGAGAGGCTGGGGGATCTTCCGCCTGGGTACGGGAATCACCAGGGTGCTGCTAGGAGCATCCTGTGAGGAGTGAATCGAGACAGATTAATGAGAGCGGAGAGAGGAGCACACCTGGGTCAGCAGATGACCCACGAGGTGGCCAGTGACTGACCCCTGGTGACGTGAGATCTGTAGCTGAGTGACTGGGAGGGTGGAGGAAGGATGATCTAGAACAGCTCCAAGGGGTAAGGACACCTACTCTTTTGAATGAGCATAAATAGAGCCTGGTTCTGGTTAGAGAAAGACGGTAAGAATGTTCCAGGGGGAAAAAAGCTGAGGAAAAAGATTTTGCTAAAGACAGGTCATGAATGCCAGAGGCCCTTGGAACTGGAACAGACTGGGGTGGAAATGGTCTTCCCTCCTGGATCAGGGTGCTTATGGTCATGTAAAGTGTTCAGCCACGTGGGAGCTGTGGTTAGCGCTCCTGATGGGGTCAGGCCACACAGGGGTCCTTTTATTTCTGAGACAGTCTCAGCTGGGCTTGAATTTTCCATCCTTCTGCCTCAGCTTCCCAGGCCTAAGCCACCACGCCTAGCTCCAGCCAGGGTCTTTTGTCCGAGGAAGAAAACCAGAAGACCTCTCCTGATTGTTGCTCACACACACACACACCCCGCCCCCCGACAGCGGGAATCCAGTCTGGCTTCCTGCCGTGGCAGCCCCGGTTCCTCAGGGAGCTGATGAGGGCATTCGGGAGACAAGAGGGTAGGGCCTGGATGCGCTGACCCACCGACCCCTCTCGACCCGCAGGCGGCGGCGATGGGCGCCAGGCCCTCGCGGCGGGGGCGGCCCGTGGACCCGCCCATGGCCCTGGACGAGCTGCCCCTCGAGCTGCTCGTGCGGGTGCTGAGCTACGTGCCGCCGTGCACGTTAGTGACCCGCTGCCGAGCGGTATGCCGCACCTGGCGCGAAGTGGTAGACGGGCCCACCGTGTGGTTGCTGCAGCTGGCCCGCGACCGTAGCGCCGAGGGCCGCGCACTCTATGCCTTGGCTCAGCGCTGCCCGCCCAACAGCGAGGACGAGGAGGAACTCCCGCTCTGCGCCCTGGCGCGCTTCTCTCTGCGCGCGCCGCTCCGCCGAAACCTCATCTTCAACTCCTGCGGAGAGCGTGCGTGCCGGGGGCGGGGCCTAGGGCGGAGCGGGGCCGAGACTTCTGACGGAACCCTAGGAAAGTGGGCCCCGGGGCGGTGGAAAGAGTGGGCGTGATAAGGATGGGCAGGGCCATGGCAGGCTGTGGGCAGAACCTGAGAGATGTAACCAATGGGAGACAACTAAAGGAGCTAGGGGCGAAGATAACACGTGAAACTGGGAAGGGCACTCTGAGGGCGTGGCTTAAGAGGAAGTACCTAAAGCAGGCTGGGGTGAAGCTGATTGGATGCTGACGGAGGGAGGTTGCGTAGTAGACTAAGGCCTCACAAAAGTGGGAGGTAAACTGAGTGGGCGGGGCAAAGCAGGAAGTGAAGCCCCGGGGGACGCCAGGAATTTGAGAAGCGAAAAGGAGACCAAGCAGGGGAAAAGGTTGAATGGATGGGCGGGCTGAGTGACTCTAAGGCAGAATGCTAGGGTCCGAGGTCTAAGTAGAAGCAGCGAGGGGGTGGGGGAGGTGTTTGGGGGGTTGGGAGGAGCCGCGAATGGGCAGTGTCTGCTGGTGTCATCCCCTTTGTGTTCTTACAGAGGGTTTCAGAGGCTGGGAGGTGGAGCACGGCGGCAACGGCTGGGCGGTGGAGAAAAACATAACCCTGGTGCCTGGGGCTCCTTCCCAGACCTGCTTCGTGACTTCTTTCGAGTGAGTGGTCCCCGGTGCCTGGGGCACAGGCCAAAGAGGGAGGAGGGGACCCTGCCACGACCCCACCCTACCTTCAACTGCCTCACCCTCTCCTCACATTCCTGCCTTCTTGCATTCAGCAAGCAGCAGTTTGGGGTGGGTCTGCCGGGGTACTCAGGTTCTAGGCACTGTTGTAGCTGCTAGAGATACAAGAGAAAAGATCAGAAAGGTTAACAACCTCTCCTTCCTTCCTTTGCATTTTAGATGTAGGGTGAGAGTAGCTATTAAACACAAGCAGTAGCCGGGCATAGTGGAGCATGCCTGTAATACCAGTGTTCTAGGAAGCTGAGGCAGGAGGATCACAAGATGGAGCCCAGCCTAGGGACCTTAGCCACGTACCAAGACTCTGTCTCAAAAAAACAAGCGGGGGGGGGGGGGTGGTATTTAATTCAGCGGTTCTGCCACCTGCCTTGCAAGCTCAAGGTCCTGAGTTCGATCTCCGGTACAAAAAAAAAAAACAAGCAGTAAAGTAACAACACAACAAGCATTTCCATTGGGTTACTCTATGCTAGACGCTTTATGTGTAACTCAATTCTAACAACCACCCCAAAACCCAGGTTCTGTTCTTGTCCCCATTTTATATAAGGAAATTGAAGTACAGAAAGTAACTAATATCCAGTAAATGGTAGAGTTGGGAAATAGACCCCGGTAATCTGGCTCCAGAACTCTTGATTATGACAACTGCTGTGAAGACACCCAAACCGAGCTGGGCATTGTGGTGCACACCTGTAATCCCAGAACTCGGGAAAGCTGAGGCAGAAAGATTGCAAGTTGGAGCTCAGCCTACTAGTAATTTAGAGAGACCCTGTCTCAAAATAAAAAATAAGGGCCAGGCATGTAGTTCAGTGGGTTCTAGCTCCAGGACCCAAAAACAAAACATTTAACTGTGTGTGTGTGTGTGTGTGTGTGTGTGTGTGTGTGTGTGTTTTGAGACAGGGTCTCACTAAGCAGTTCAAGCTGGCCTTGAACTCACTATGTAGCCCTGGCTGGCCCTGAACTTGCAATGATCCTCTTTCCTCAGCCTCGGAGCCCTGGTATTACAGGCATGTACCACCACACCCGGTGCTAATTGATTATCTTTGAACTTCATACTACCTACTCATTCTCCTTGTCCCTTCCTTCCATGGGCAACCATTCTCATGTGGCATTATCCAACTTTCTAGTAGTTGGCGTACACTGGGGAGCAGGAGTGATATCTCCCTATTGTTTTAATTTTCATTTTTCTGTAATGAGTATAAGCATCTCTTTGTGTGCTTCTTGTTAGCTTTTTGTTTTGTTTTGTTTTTTTGAGGCAGGGTCTCCCTTTGTAGTTCAGGCTGACCCTGAACTCACTATATAGCCCAGGCTGGCCTCAAACTCAGTGATCCTCCTGCCTCAGCCTCCCGAGTGCTGGGATTACAGGCGTGCACCACCACACCTGGCCTGGTTAGCTTTTTTGATTCCGTCTTTTGTAAATTACCTGTTCATATTTTCTGTTAGGACTGATATATGTTTCTTGTTGACTTAAACGAATTCCTTGTATCATCCAGATGTCCCTTGGATGATATATGGGAATGTATGTACATCCTGGGAATGGTAGAAATCATCTCCTACTTGCTATCTGTATTAACTGTGTCCATAGTGGTTTTTTGTTGGCAGAAATCTTTTGCTTCCGTATGATCAAAAATTTCTCTCTCTTCTCTAAAATTTGTATTGTTGGTCTTGGGCCTGTAGCCCAGTAATACAGTGCTTGCCTAGGATGCATGAGGCCCTGGGTTCAATCCCCAGCATTAAAAACAGAAACAAACAAAACTGTATTCTTGAAATTTTGTTTTAAAAACTCCTTCCCCACCCCTAGCTCCTAGCAATAGTCCCTTATATACTGTTTTCTAGTAACCTCATATCTTCACATTTAGGGTCATTTTTTTTTCTGGTACTGAACCCAGGGCTCTCACACTGAGCTACATCCCCAGCCCTTTATATTATTTTTTATTTTGAGATAGGGCCTCACTAAGTGACTAAGTTGCCCAAGCTGGGCACAAACTTGCAATCCTCCTGCCTCACCCCCTGAGAGTGCTGGGATTACAGGCATGTATCACCATGCCCGGTTTAGGTATTTAATCTATCTTTGAATGTGCTGTTATGTAAGGATCCAATCCCCTGCCATATACTGAGCCTGTTTTCCCAGCACTGTCTACTAAAGAATCTACCAATTCCCCATGGAATGGTGTTTGCACCTTTGTCATTGTAGGAAGTCGCAGGTCTAGTTACAGTGGAGGAGGCACATGTCACCCACAGGCCTACAGATGATGAGGGGAAGAACAGCTATGGGACCTGAAAGCAGAGGCTGTGAGGAGACAGCACTGTGGGTTATGCCCTTTCTTTGAGTGACACAGCAGTCCCTTGGGAGGGAACTTAACCCTAGAAGGATTAATATTTAGATTTTATTCTTTCCTCCCTAGGGTACAAGAGACCCAGCCATACAGGCCATGCAACCTTAAGAGGCCCAGAACTCTCTGCTCCAGTGTTTAGTATGTGGCCTTCATTGTCACTCACATCCTGGTCCCCACAAACATTAGGGTCAGGCTAGTAGATAGGTCAGCCTCCTAGAGCCCAGAGCTGGGCAGAGAATGGGGAGGGGTCTGCGAGGGGGAGGAGGGATGCGAGACCCATCATGCATCTTCCACACTGTCCAGCAAACCCTGAGCAGCTGCTTTAGGCATGGTGATCAGGGAAGGCTTCCTGGAGGAGGTGGTTTCTGCCTGACTTGAATGCCAGGACTGTGTCCCAGCCCCTGCTCTTCCCCTCCCAGATGGTGCTTCAAGAGACAGCTTGTGGACCTGGTGACGGAGGGGCTGTGGCAGGAGCTGTTGGACAGCGCCCAGCTTGAGATCTGCGTGGCTGACTGGTGAGTAAAGAGTGGCAGCCTGCCCCCAAGGGCGGTGGTGGCAGGGTGCGGCAGCCCCCCCGGGTCAGTGGTACAAGCACCTTTCGAAGTGAGGCCGGGAGAGAGGAAGTGAGGTTCACAGTTACAGAGCCGGGAGGAACGGGGCCTGGTGAGCCCAGAGCCCCCGCCCCACACTCTCCCACTCTCTTCCCGGGGAACCTGGACTCACCAACAGGCTTGATGCCCCTATCACCCCAACTCACTGCTGACTCTAAAGGCCTGTGGATGTCCAAGCCTTCTGAAGGGTGAGGAGCACTATGCCCTGAGAACTGGGCTCAGAGGAGACACAGTGGAGGTGGGGCGCTGGCTGGCTTCAGAGTCCAGGAGCCGTACTTCAGCGAGCGCTCCCCTTCCAGAGCTGGCAAGATCTTCTCCAAAGCATTCAGACTCTTCCCAGTCTCTTCCTACTCCAGATCACCAGGCTTCTCACCGTCGTCACAGCCCTGCCCCTTAATCTAGCCAATCAAAGCCTCTCAGGCTTCTCCTCGCTTTGGCCCCACCCCGGGGCATTTAGGCTCCTCCTCCAAGCTCTGGCTCCACCCCCAAGGAGAAAGTTCCTACCCCAGAAGGGCTCAGAAGCCACCAGATGTGGTGCAGAGGTGTAAGACTTTCATCCAGGTCCTGGAGGGCCTCCACCTCCCTCCTCCCAACCCAGAGAACTGGCGGGGTGGTGGGGACATCTAGGCTCACTGTCACCTGGCAGGTGGGGCGCCCGAGAGAACTGCGGCTGCATCTACCGCCTTCGGGTCCGCCTCTTGGATGTGTACGAAAACGAAGTGGTGAAGTTCTCCGCGTCACCCAACCCGGTCCTTCAGTGGACTGAGAGGACCTGCCGACAGGTGGGTCCGGACTGCTTTCCCACTCACTCTGACCTGCTTTGAGGCACACAAACCCAATCTGTCACCCTGCTGTGCCGTGGTGCTCAGCGGTCATTGGTGCTGGGTACCTGTAGTCATAGCTAACAATTATTGAGCACTTTCTACACCACCTCCCAGGGCTGTTCCAAGAAGTTCACAGATTAATTCACTTCCTTAGCACAACAACCTACATGTTCAGTATTTATTGAGCACCAGCTGTGAGTGCAGAAAACTGCTAATGGAGTTGTAGTGGAGTGATGAACCAAATTTTTTGCCCTATCTCCATCCTAGAAACTGAGGCACAGAGCAGGTGACTGGCACAGTCACATTTAAGGCATGCAGGGCCTGACTCAAGCCCTGGCTGACCCCTAAGCCTGTGGTGTCACAATCATCAAATATCAAAGTTACCTTCTAGGTAGCCTCTTGGTTTCACTCCTGCCCTCTTCCCCTACGACCCCAGAACGAAGCATCCAGAGGATCCCACTAAAATCTGAGTCATCACAGCACTTCTCTGCTTGTCACCCTCCCTTGGCTACATCTCAGCAAAAGTCAAGCCCCCAAAGGAACTAAGGGGCTGGGGAGCACTGATCTATACCACACAGAGATGAACTATGAAAATGTTACACTAAGTGAGAGAGGATATGAAATGTCCACAACAGGCAAAGCCAGGAGACATAGAGTAGATTAGTGGTTGCCAGGGGCTGAGAGGAGAGAACTGGAAGTAATGGCTGATGGATACAATTTTTTTCTGGGGTTGTTCCAGAATTAGATAGTGGTGATAATTGCATAACAATATACTAATAATCACTGGATTGTATACTTTAAGATGATATTTATGTTTCATGAATTTTGTCTCAATTTTAAAATTCCAGAAACAAAGTCTGAGTCTTCCTGTAGCCCACAAGACCCCACGTGATCTGCCCATTACTTTCCTGAGCTGGTCTCCTAGATCTCCCCTCACTCTGCTGCAGGCATGCTCCCCCCTCAGGGCCTTTACACGGCTGTTCCGTCTGGAACACTCTTCCTCCACAGCCCCACATGGCTCCCTCTCCTTCAGATGTCCACTCAGATGTCACCTTGGGGAGGCCCTCACTTGCTTCACTCATATGTCCATCACTCTCCTAGCAGGATGCCCTCTACCCCCACCACCTACATTCAGTGTCTGCCCCTTAACAGGTCATCACAGGGCAGGGGCTTCCTGCTGCCGACCTCACTGCTGTGCCCATGCACTCAGCACAGGGCCTGATGCCTACTGTGTGCCCGCGCAGTGAGTCTGCAGAAGCTGAAGAGGAGCCCACGGCACTCACTTCTCTCCTTTCCCTGTAGGTCTCCCACGTATTCACCAACTTTGGCAAGGGCATCCGCTATGTGTCTTTTGAGCAGTATGGGAGAGACACGCGTTCCTGGGTGGGGCACTATGGCGCCCTGGTGACCCATTCCAGCGTGAGGGTCAGGATCCGGCTCTCTTAGCTGGCCAGCATGACCACACCTTCCGGGACACACTGCCATATGCTAGATGTCATCAAAATCAAAAGTGGCTTTGCAGCCCTGAGCCTGAGGATACCCAGATATCCAGAGTCCCATGGCACCTGCATGGTGACCTTCGTGCTGTATGACAAACCAGAGACCCCAACAGACACTTCGTGGCTCGCTGAGCTCCCCAGGTAGGGATGTCACAGACTGGGGACATTAAGTTGGTTTGTGTGCCTGCAAGCTGTTCCTTCACAGGTAGACACCTGAGTTAAGAAACAAAGGTTAACTGAATCAAGAAACAAAGGTCAAAACAGCCTTACGATGGAGAGGGGGAAGCTGCTGATCAGGGAATGGTGACTCTTGTCCATGTTTTTGAAGTGAGTCACTGGCAGAAGCCAGAGTTCATTTGGGCCATCTGTCCTTAAGACCCACAGGGGCCTCAAAGGAAACCCTGTTGTTTTGGGGTCTCTGGGATTCAGCTGTGGGGCCCTATAACCAGCCATCTCTGGGCACTGTCCAGCCCGCCCCTTTGAGCCACCTATCTGCCATCAGAATTCTCCAAGGCCAGTCCCCACCCTCACCTCCTGCTGGATGACACCCTCCTTCCCCCTCACGAGTGCCTTCCTGTATGGGGACCTGGCACAAGGCCCAGCATGTGGAAAAGCACCCTGCCCCTGAGTCCAAGTGCTGCCCAGCAGGCCCCAGCCAACCAACTGGCTCAGTAAAATTGGTGTTAAGTATGAGGTGATTTGTATTTCTTGTCTTTACTCTGCACTTTGTGCCTCTAGTGCTTATAATCACGAGAACCTCAGGAGGGTGCTTGCCAAGTGCCTCTGTCCCTGAGAGTTTGCAGAACCAGGGACGCCTATGATGCGCCCAGCAGATGAGGTCCTCACTGTTCTCAGGCAGGTGTGTTCAATACCATGTGGTCCAGGCACAGCCAGCTTTGTTTGCTTTTGTTTTTTGAGACAGGGTCTCACTATGTAGTCCAAGAAGGCCTTGAACTCCCGATCCTCTCACCTCAGCCTCAAGTGCTAGCATTACTGGCATGAGCCACCATGCCCAGAGTAGGATCAGCATTTAAATGCCCTGCCCCAAGTCACTGGGCGAGTAAGCAGAGATGGGGAACAGGCCAGAGTTGGGCTCCAGAGCCCAATGACAGAAGCACAGCCTCCAGTTTAAAAGCAAACACGGGGGCCAGGGATTTAGCTCAATGGTTTCGCCTGCTGTGCGAGTGCAAGGACCTGAGTTCGATCTCCCGTACCAAAATAAAAATAAAAGCAAACATGGCCAAATCTTGTGATCACACAATTCTGATGGTCAGAATTATCCTCAGTGGCCAGGTATAGTGGTGCATGCCTGTAATCCCAGCACTTGGGAGGCTGAGGCAGGAGGATTGCTGCGAGCCTGGACTACATAGTGAGACCCTGTCTCAAAACAAAACAAAACAGAATTACCCTCAGTGCCACTTTCAAGGGAGGAAATGGAGGCCCTGAGCAGGGAACTACTATAGCCAGCTCACAAGGCAGTTAGGGGTGCAGCCAGCACTTGAATCCAACTGTGTCAGATAATATCAAAGAACAGCTCTCAGCTTGAAGCACCCCATTTAACCCTTGCAACGTGCCTTCTATAATTACCAACTGCTGCCATTTCCCAGATGACCACACTCGGGGGCAGCAGCACAGCAAGGCGGTCAGTGCTGCCCAGCAGGCTCCAGAGCTTAAAGCTGAGCAGCCCACACAGGCACTGTGCACACTGTGTAACCTCATCTTCACCAAACACAGCCACTTTCTGGGAGAGAAAACAGGCCAAGAGAGGGTGGCAATGCCACAACCACACGGAGGGCAGATACTGCACCAGGGAGTCACATGGCAATCATGGGGATCTGTGTGTTTATTGCAGTGTTTTGTCCCAGCAGAAGAGGCTGCTCAAGCCAGCACTGAACACTGACCTCAAAGTATTAACAGCGGGAACCTTTTTCTAATCCACACCCAGAACCCCAATGAGCTAGTGGGGGTCCTGATGGAAGAGGCAGGTTCAGGTTTGTTGCCTCTGGAGTAGGAAGGGCTGGTTTCTCAGGACCTGCCAGAGCCCAGACAGGAAGGTTCTTTTTCTGCAGGGAGCCAGGGCCACTGTGCCCACTGGTCATTTCTTCTTCTTCTGCACGTGGCCACAGTCATACTTGCCCCGCACAACTTTGAGCTTGACACCGGGCAGGTCTTGGGTGCGGCCACCCTTCACGAGGACCACATGGTGCTCTTGCAGGGTGTGGCCCTCACCAGGGATGAAGCAGATAGCTTCTCGGCCGGTGCTGAGCCTCACGTGGCAGCACTTGCGGTTGGCTGAATTGGGCTTCTTGGGCTTTCGGGTGAATGTGCGCAGGACCACACCCTTCAGCTGTGGCCTGCCTTCCGTGGGGCCCAGACGCAGGGGCTGCTTCTTGGGGGGTCCCAGGCGGTGCATCTGGTTCAGGGTAGCCATGGAGCGGGTGGCCCAGAGCCGGGGAACCAGGGCCAGGCCTTGAGAGAGACAACCAGGAGGGTGGAAGGTGGTTATTATCCCACCACATAGATAACAGCATTTGCAACTCAATTTTGGTGTTCTAGGCATGCATCCAAGCACTTTAAAGGACCCATTTGTTTACATCCGGGGGTATTTTTGCATAATAGTAATAACTGCTAACTAATGTTTATTAACCATCATGTGTCAGGTTCTGTTTTAAGTCTTTTACATAAATTAACTGAATGTATTCTTCTAAGAAGGTACTAATTTGAATGCGGTTTGGAAATAACAAAAATGAGCAGAGCAACCACATCATACACGCATTCATGTCACCCCTGCAGCAGCCCTGTGGGGGGACTCCTGGTCACCCCTCCTCTCAAGCCCACATTCAGCCCATGAGGACATCCTGTCAGTTCAGTTTGGTACAGCTCAGAAGCCCCCGCCTTCTCCCTCCCCTGCTAGCCCACCTTAGGCTGCTCCATCCTTGTCTCCTGCTGGACTATGGCACCCTCCTCCTCCTGAGCTCCCAGCTCTGGCTCCCAAACACACAGCCAGAGGGAGCCTGAACACCAGGTGCAGATTGGGCCCCTTCCCTGCTCAGAGCTCCCTGTGGCTCCATCTCAGGAGAAAGGATAAAGTTCTTCACCCAGTCTGCCCCTGTGATTCCTCGATCTTAGCTCCCCACTGGTCTCTTGCTCTCGATGGGGCCCCAAAAACACCAACAGAGAGGATACCACGGTGGCTAAAGACTGTAGTATGAGGAAAGGAAGGTGCAGTAGGAGAAGGGGAGGGAGATTTATTTTCAAGGCAGACCAATGGGATTTGTTCACAGACTGCATGTAGCTGCGTGAAGATACAAAGACAACTGGGTTCTTGGCTACATTCATTGAGCACCCACGGTGTCTAAGCCACAGTGATAGGGACACAGCAGGGACTGAGGACACTGGGCCCTAAGCATGATCTTGGGCTCTGAAGTTACAGTATCATCTATCTATCCATCTCCTACTCCTCTCACTGCTGTTCAGACGTCCTGCCAGCTCCCCAACCTTACACTCCCTTCCATACCCAGGCTCTACTGTCCACTTCCATGTCTCCTTTTGTCTAGAGTGACAGCCAAATTCTTTTCCCCCTCTTTGTTTTTTGAGACAAGGTCTTACTATGTAGATCAAGCCAGCCTTGAACTCATTATGGCTTCAAACTCATGAGCTCCTCCCCCAGCCTCCTGAGTGCTGGGATTCCAGGTGTGCACCACCACCCCCAGCGATGGCCAAATTCTCAAAGAAGCTGAGCCATTCCTAGAAGTGACTGCCTAGTACCATGCCCCTGAACGAGACTCTTGGCATCTGTGCCTCATTTTCCTCACCTACATCCTGGGCACCATGGTTTCGTCTCCCTCCTTGGTGCCATGTGAGACTACCATGAAATATTTTACATGTCCAGTGAGCCCTGATTACTGAAGCAGGGAGCAGGCCTAACTTGCCCACCCTTGTGATCTTTGCTGAGTGACAGAGTGCTTAAGAAAGGTTTTCAGAGCACACAGTTAAATGAAATACCTCCCACAGGCAATGGCCCATGAGAAGCATTTGATGTCTCAGGAAAGTATGAGCCAGGTACAGTGCCACACACCTGTAATCCCAGCACTCTGGGAGGTTGAGGCAGGAGGATCTCAAGTTTGAACCAAACCTGGGCAACTCAGTGACCTAGTGAGACAGTCTCAAAATTAAAAAAAATAAAAAGGCTAGCAATGTAGTTCAGTGTTGAGACCTTGGTTCAACCTCCAGTACAGAAAAGAAAGAACATAAATAAAGCTACTTCAGTGTCTGGCACATTCTAGGCTCTGGAAAAGCATCAGTTGAATAAATGACTACAATACCTTGCTAGGCTGTCTTACCCATGGGAAGTAATCAATAAATACCTGCTGAATGAATGGTCATGCGACGCTGTATCATGCAACATGCTCTGAGAAGTGTAATGTTAGCAGATTTCTTGTGCAGTCATCATAGGTTGCACTCATATACACTAGGACTGGCAGGGCGTCACCAGGCAGTATCACCTCATGCAACAACCCTCATAGATTCGGTCCTCAACCTCGTTATGCAGGGCATGACTGTAATCAACACCAAACTGCTTCAGGCACAATTACCTTCAATGAAGCTACTTTTCACCTGTTGTCTAGCAGCCCGAGTTCTGCCAAAAGCCACCGGGGAACCACCTCTGATTTAAAGTCCATGATTCCACGACTGCTGCGTCCCAGACGGGATAACTCTCATCCAGCTACCTCCCCACTTACCACGACTTAGGGACGTGTTGAGACCACGGAGAAGGCCAGACCAGGACATCCCGTCTCTTGGTGCGTCCCTGTGTTAGGGATAAGAGACTCAGAAAGGAGGAGAAAAAAGTGGCTATAGTCGCCGAGGGCCGAAATTCCTAAGGAAGTTCTTTTAGAGGTCTAATCATGACCCCTTATGCTATTAACAGAAAGTCCCTCCGCATAGCCTAGCTCTAACCAGGCTCTGGGGACGCACTGATCCCGCCTGCATATAGGAGAAAAGGGTGAACTAGGGGGAGAACCGGGGAGATTTGAAGGACCAGATGCTTCCACTGACCTCAATGACCCTAGCAGGGTCTGAAGCCACGCCGAATCTTGACTCCACCACCTTCCGGGGATTACCCGGGGAGAGATTGGCTGGTTCTGCTAGGAAGTTACAAAAAGGATAGGACACACACGACGATTGGCCAAAGACAGAGTCTATCACAGGCAACTTTCCTCAGTGAACTGTTTCTGAGGCCCTGCGACTGCAATATCTTCCAGAGTCTGATTGGTTTACCTCAGCACATTGGCTGCTTTGCAATTGGTTTAAATGCGGAGTAGGCGGGACAAAGGGCTCTTGCCTCCTCGTTTCCGATCCAAATGGCTGCGTCCGTGGCGCGGCGCTTGTGGCCTTTGCTGGCTCGTCGGGGGCTTTGGCCCCGGGGAGAATGCGTCTACGACCAGAGTCCAGGGAGAAATTTTGCTACAGAGAAACGAGGCCGGAACCTCCTGTACGAGCACGCGCGCGAAGGCTACAGTGCACTCCCTCACCTGGACATGAAGCTACTGTGCGCATGCCCAGAAGAGGTCGCGCGCGCCTTGGAGCTCCGCAAGGGGGGGCTGCGACCCGCAGATCTGCCTAAGATTGTGAGTGCTCTTGCGCGGCTGCTGGCTTCGCAGCGGTGGGTTCGAAACCTCAACTCTGTTTGGGGGAGGGAGACTATTTGCAGGATTTTAGTTCCTTCCAACGTTGGCCAGTGTCTTGAGCATAGCATCCGCCTTTGTGTCAATTGTCCGCTGAGGGCTAGGGATCTACAATGTGCGAAGGATGCCTTCTATTATTCTGTTATTTTACGTCTATCGCGTAATGCGCGCTGAATACCTAGTGTGCTCTAGGGACCTACTATATATAGTACCAATGCTCTCTGGGCTCCAGCCTCATGGCATGCTTACCCTAAGGCCACACACACACACACACACACACACACACACACACGCACGCACGCACACACAAAGTAAGGAACGGGGTATTAATCAGGCGGGGAAGTGTCAGGCAGTGGTCTTGCTTTCAGAGAGGTAGAGTTCTGTACCAGTGCCGCAGGAAGCAAGCAGTTAAATAGGGTTTAACGAATGAATGGTTCTGCTGAGCAAATACTTAAGGGACATCTACTGTGTTCCAGTGTTCCACGGGGTGAGAACAGGCGATGAGTAAAGACGATAAAAATCACTAGCATTTACATAACACCACATATGAGGAAACTAGAACTGGGGTCATCTTATTTCTTTTTTTTCCCTACACTAGGGAGTTGAATCCAGGGCCTTCACCCTGAGCTACATCCCCAGTCTGTTTATTTATACTTATTCTTTCTTGAGATACGGTCTTACCAAGTTGCCCAGGCTGGGTCTCACCATGTTGCCCAGGCTGGGCTTGAGTTTGTGATCTTCCTGACTCAAGCTCCCAGAGTGCTGGGATTACGGGCATGTGCTACCACACAAAGTTTGGGGTCATCATATCTCTATGGTGAACAAATGTAATAGGGTCACCAAGTCTTCCCCGTTCACTCTTGGATCCCTCCAGCCAGCCTGTTCTAACTGCTTTTTATACTTTGGCCTCAATTAATTTTTGCAACAACCCTGTGAATTAAGTGCCATTATTTCCCCCTCGCTCTATCAAAGGGGAAACTAAGGCTCAGAGAAAAGCTGGTAAGTGGCAGAGGAGATTTAAATCCCTGCTGTTTGGCGCCAGAACCCACAATCTGAAGTACTCCACTATGCTCTACCATAAGCAAGATGAGCCAAGTTCACTGTCTAGTAAATGAGAAATATTTCACATACAGTTGTAACTATGTACTCAAACTCTGATAAGTACTATGAAGGTAAGGTACAAGACAACTTGAGGCGGCTTCTTGGAGGACGTGGGTGGCATTAGGCAAAGATCTATGGGTTGAGTGAGAGCCAGAAGAGGGGAGAGGAGTATCCCAAGGGAAGGGGGTCAGCATTTACAAAAGCCTAGCGGTAGCATATTCTGTTTGGTAAACACATAGGTAATTTAATGTCACAATCTTTAGTAGGGTTTTCAGTCATTGTGGCCAAGAATAAGGAAGCATTTCAAGTCCTGGCCCAGGACACACACCCACAATTGAAACCAAAGTTTCATGTTCTTACCATGAGTGATGCAGTCTTATTTTTCTTAATTATATTCTCTTTCATTTTTATTTTATTTTATTATTTTTTTATTATTATTATTATTATTTTTTTTTTTTTTTGGTACCAGGGCTAGAACTCAGGTCCTTGCACTTGTAAGGTGGCGAAACCACTGAGCTAAATCCCTGGGCCTCTCTTTCATTTTTAAAACATTTTTAATGCTTTTTGGTTTTTGCTTGTTAGTTTTTTGAGACAAGGTCTCGCTATATAGTTCATGCTGGCCTTCAACTCACTATGCAGCCCAGGCTGGCTTCGAACTTACAGTGATCCTTCTGCCTCAGGCTCCTGAGTGCTGGGATTACAGGTGTGTGCTACCATGCCCGGTTTAGAAATCCTAAATTGATGTTATAACTCCCTGTCTGTTTGGGCTGCTGTAACAGAAAACTATCAACTGGGCAGCTTCTAAGCAACAGAAATTTATTTCCCATCACTTGGGAGGTTGGGAAGTCCAAGGTCAAGGCACATGCAGGTTTTGCCTCTGGTTCATAGATGGCCGTGTTCTCACTATGTCTCACGTGGTGGAAGAGGAAGAGTTCACTGTGGTCTCCTTAATAAGTGCATCAATCTATTCATCAGAGATGTAGCCTTGTGGCCTGGGATCGCCTAAAGCTACACCCCCTAATGCCTTCCCGTGGGGTGGGGATTTGAATATAGGAAGGGGTGGACACGGGCATTCAGTCCACAGTGCCTGTGTTGGGTCACGGCCCAAAGGCTGAAAAACACTTCTGTGAGGTTCAGCTCTCTTCAGGGCCCTTCATCTAGTCCAAGGGGAGTGAGGAAAAGTCTAGGATGGTGGCTTATCTTTAAGGGGGTGACCCAAGAGTCACACTTACCCCTTCTACTCATGTCTGTTGGCCACACTTGGTCACAACAGCACAAGCGCTGCAAAGGCAGCTGGGAAGTGTGACATGCCTACCTCAGCATTGGGGAGTTCTTGTCCTGAGGGAGGAGGGGAGAGTGGCTTGTAGGGGCCCATGAGGGGTCTCCACTACAGCACCTGCAGGGCCAGGTGGCCCAGGGGTGAGGCTCCAGCAGCGAGAAGCATCTTTCCCTCCTCTCTGCCCACAGATCTCCACGTGGCAGGAGCTGAGGCAGCTTCGGGAGCAGATCCAGAACCTGGAGACCGAGAAGAGCACTGTGGCAGAAGCAGTGAGGGCCCTGCTGGTGAGCAAGTGTCCTGAGCAGGCGGGGGCAGCGGTGGGGGCACCGCTGGCCACCGGCAACAGGAAAGGCACTTGAACTGCAGGGACAGTCATTGCCTCACATTCTGGCTGCCGAGGGTCCCCAGCGTCCCTAGGGTTGATTAGTTAGCAGCTGTTGCCTGCATCTGCAGCCATGTTGTCTCCCCTCTCTGGGCTGGCAACTTCACTACATTGATCTGACCTGAGTTTCCCGTCTTGATTCCAAGATGGCTGCCATAGGGCAGCAGCCCCTTCCATAACTCTGCCATAGGCAGAGAGCAGGGACTGCTTGGGCTCTGTGCTTTTTCCAAGAGCAAGAACACTGTTCCCCAAGGGGAATCTCCTTGTGTTTCATGGGCCCAGATGCCCACCCACGCCCGTCACCAGTAAGAGGGATGGAGTCCCTGCTGTGGCTTAGGGCTGGTTAGCCTCAGGCTGGGCTCACGTCCCTGAACTGCAGGGAAGGTAAATGGAGTCAGATGTTACAGGGAAGAAGAAAGAAGGGATCCTGGGTTAGACAACCCAGCAATATATATTACAGAGGGTATAAAAGCAGTTACTTAAAAAAAAAAAAAAATCTAGCCAAGGGCCGGGGATTTAGCTCAGTGGTTCTGGCGCCTGCCTCGCAAGCACAAGGTCCCGAGTTTGATCCCCGGTACCAAAAAAAATCTAGTCAAGGACTGGCAATTTAGCTCAGTGGCATTGTGCCTGCCTCACAAGCTCAAGGTCCTGAGTTCAATCCCCGGTACTAAAATAAAATAAGTCCAGCCAACCCAGGCATGATGGTGTACATGTATAATCCCAGTACTTGGGAGGCTGAGGCAGGAGGATTGCCCTGAGTTTGAGGTTAGCCTGAGCTACATAGTGAGTTCAAGGCCTGCCTGAACTACATAGCGACACCCTGTCTCAATCAAAAAAATCCTACAATAAATGTGGTCAATATGTGTATGACAAATATGTACTAATAAAAAAAAAGTATAAAAATAAAAAACCCAGCCCTAAAATAAAAGGCAAAAGATAAACAAACAAAAGAAAATAACCCCCCAAAAATCCAACCTGGCATACCAGATGGTGCACATCTCCTGAGGAAGCTGAGGCCAGAGGATCACAAATCCTAGCCCAACCTGGGCAACTTAGCGAGACCCTGTCTCAAAATAAATAAAAAAGGCTGAGGATCAGCCTAGCACCCTAGCTCAGTGCTCCCAGGCTTCCATCTCCTGCACTTCCCCCCCCAAAAAAAACAAACTTCCAGATGTTCATATAGCAGTCGCTGTGCACGAGGCACCATAAGCTGTGCTTTCCAGACTCCCAGTCCACACAACATGGTGATGCAGGAACAGACAAGTCTAGTTTTACACTTGGGGAAACTGAGGCCTTACATCCTACAGCCAGGAAGTGAGAGAGGTGGACCTGAGCCCAGGCATGTGGGTTGCTTTCCGCCACTCCTCAGAGGCCCCTGCCACTTTCAGGCCCAGCTGCCCGAGACCTGCAGAGTGCGCATCCAGGCCAGCAGCCCGTAAAAATGGCAGAACTGCTGGCCTACCTTCAGAGAGCACTGTTACTCAGGGAAGCTGCATCGGGGTGGAGGATCATCCTACCACCCAGATGGGGACACTGAGGCCCAGAGAAGGGGAGAGATTTGCCCAAGGCACACAGCTGGTAGGTGCTTGGCGGTCAGGCCCACATCCGCCCGGTTTGCTCAGCAGCTCAGGGTCATGGAGGTTCTGAACATCATGGGTCTTTGGCAGCTGGCCTCAGTCACTCAGACCTTCCCTCTCCAGACTCATTTGCTTATCTGCCAATGGGCCCCCACGGCTGCAGAGTGGGCCATGATGCAGGAGACCGTGTCCTCACCCCAGTCCTTCGTGGAGGCGGCACACCGTACTCTGCTGCTGGTGTGATTACTGCTCCATCGCCTTGCCCTCCTAGTTACTTCAGCGGGGAGACTGAGGAACCGAGTGGTGGAGGGACACTGACTGGGCAGGAGATCCAGATCCGCTGCCCTGTTTGACCTTTCACCACACCCTGCAGGTTTATCAACCTAATCCTTACCCTCCCCATCTCTCTTCTGCCAGGTGAACCAGGACCACAGTCAAGTGCAGCAGGTACCACAGGGGGCTCATGTCTTGTCCTGGGTTGGAGATGGGCAGGGTAGCTTCTGTATCCGTCACCATTCTTCCATTGTAAATGACAAAAATTGCAACACAGACAAGTGTAAGGGGAAAAACAGAAAGCAGGCCCTCTTGGCTCACAAAACTAAAATGGCTGGCTTCAGGTGTTTGGTTCTGTTTCCTTTCCTTCTCAGCCCAGATTTCTCCCATTGTGGAAGGGATAGGCAGGACTAAGCATGTTCTTCTGAGAGCTCCCACCAGAGTCCCGAGACTGCTTCTCAAGAGTTCATCAGGGGTCACACGCTTGTCACTGAGCCAATCATGGAAGTCAACACAACAGAATGTTCTAGCTGGCCAGGCCTGAGTCTTGTCCACAGGAACCTGCCACGTGACGGGGTTCAGGAAAGGAAATTCAAGTTGCCAGACCAAAAGAAGAGGCAACAGAGATCCACCCCAGGGGTTCTGCCAGTGAAGACTGAGGTCCAGTTAAGGGCTCCCACCCTTACCCTGGGCTGACCCCTTTGTGCTGTCCCCAGGACCCTCAATATAAGGCCCTGAGGACCCGTGGGCGGGAGATCCGGAAGCAGCTTGTGCTCCTGTACCCCAGGGAGGACCAGCTGGAGGAGCAGTTCTACCTGCAGGCACTGAAGCTGCCCAACCAGACCCACCCAGACGTGGTGAACATCTCGGGGGGCGACGAGGGCCCTCTTGGCACCTCCTCCCCGTGACACCCCCATCTCTGTGTCCCTGCAGCCCGCCGGGGATGAGAGCCAAGCCCGAGTGCTCCAGGTGGTCGGAGAGAAGCCAGGTGGGCCATGCCCATGGCCAGGCACACCTGGGATGGGGGTGTGGGGCTCCTGGCGCCTGGGGTGCAGCTGAGCCTTTTGAGAGCTCAGCTCTGTGGGTGGTGCACTGTGGTCCTTCTCTCCCTTCCCTGCCTCTGTCTCCCCATCCTTCCGTCTGCTTCTCCGGCTCCCTTTCTGAGCACCTCCTTCCCTTTCCCGTCTCTCTGCTGCTCCAGCTCTCTCTTCACCTTTCCCCATCCCCACCCTCTTCTGCCCGCTTTGGCTTTCTCTGTCCTTCTCTCCTCCCCTCTTCTCCCCCTCTCTCTTCCTGCCTCTCTTTCCCTTTCTCTGTCGCTCGCTCTCCTGCTGTTTCTGCTGCTCCATTTCTATCTCTGTCCCATCTCCCTCTTCCCATCTCATCCCATTGCTTTTCACCCACATCCAGCTTTCTCCTTCCAACCTCGGGGCCACGTGGAAATCGGCGAGAAACTCGACATTATCCGGCAGAAGTGAGCTCCCTCCGCCCTCCCCTCACTGTAACAGCTGGTGTCCGCTCCTGCACCGCGAGGCTCAGCCTGAGATGTGCAGATGCCAGGGCCGCGCCCAGCATGAATGTTTGATGCCCACCGCGCCTGGCAGCTGGGCTTCCGCCCCAGGTGCCCGAGTCCCTCTTGCCTCTGCCAGCCCTGCCCATATGCAGTTGCCTGTCTGTCTGCCCATCTGTCCCCAGGCGCCTGTCGCACGTGTCGGGCCACCGCTCCTATTACCTGCGTGGCGCAGGGGCCCTCCTGCAGCACAGCCTGGTCAGCTTCACTCTCAGCAAGCTCGTCGGCCGGGTACAGCTGGGCCGGGAGGGCTGTGTGGACTGGGCAACATCGACCCTGAGTTCAGAGGACTCCAGGAGAGGGGAGGATTTTGTGTGTATTAGTGATACTCAGTTCTTATGATGATCTTAGGAAGTAAGTGCTTATTTTCCCCACTTTAGAGGGGAAATCTAGGCCTGGGCCCAGGGGCTCAAGGTCACAGCCAGAACATGGACCTGGCCCAAAGCCTGGACATATAACCACACCTCTCTGCTTGCCTAGGGTAAGGGAAGCATGGTGTCCATGAGGAGTCAGCAGGCTGACCTCGTGGGACACTGGTCATAGTCAGGGAGTCAGACATTTCTCCCATAATCTGGAGGGCACTAGGGAGCCATGAGAGGCTCAAGCAGGGGCAGGATGTGGCCAGACCTCTACCTGCCTTGTGCTGGATGAACTGAGGGGAGGAACTGGAGCCTGCAGCAGGATGGCCCTGGTAACACAGACACCAGAAACCTGGCCTCACTTGGTATCTTCTGCTGAGGGAGGGGAGTAACTCAAGTGACGGGAGGACAGGCCCTGCCTGTACCTCACTGACTCCTCCTGCAGGGCTTCACCCCCATGACGGTGCCAGACCTGCTCCGAGGAGCTGTGTTTGTGAGTGAGCCCAGCACTGTCGGGGAGGCTGCCCTGGGCCAGGGGACTCCAGGTGCTCCCCAGGAGGGCTGGGGCTGTGACATGAAGCCAAGGGTACCCCCACCCCCGGCTTCCCCCAGGAAGGCTGTGGTATGACACCGAATGCCAGCCCGTCCCATGTGTACAGCATCGACCCCTCCCACTTTGAAGACCTCCACCTAGCTGGGACAGGAGAAGTGGGGCTCGCAGGTGAGCACCCCGGGGGTGGTGGGGCGGTGGGGCAGAGGGGCAGGGGACATTGTGGGAGACAGTAGGAAGCATTCCTGGGAACAGCAGGCAAAGCTGCCTGCCCTGGAGAGCTCAGCTGGGCATGGTGGTGCACACCTGTAATCCTGGCATTCTGGGAGGCTGAGGCAGGAGGATTGCAAGTTTGAGCCTAGCCTGGGCAATTTAGACTCTGTTCCAAAATAAAAATTTTAAAAGGAGGGCCAGGGATTTAGCTCAGTGGTTCTGCTGCCTGCCTCACAAGCGGAAGGACCAGAATTTGATCCCCAGTACCAAAAAAAAGAGAAAAATTTAAAAAGGACTGGGGATGTAGCTCAGTGGGAAGGCACTGAGTTCAATCCCCAGTACTACAAAACAAAACACAGTTGTGTGGGCTGTTCACTGCACAGAGACATAGTGACAGTCCAGCAGTTGCTCTTACACGGGGTTGCCGACACCAAAGGAAATGCCTTTTCTGAATGTCACAAAGGCTTACGAGTGACAGCTCCCCTGGCTATCCTATTCCTTCTCTTTCTTCCAGGCTACTTCATGGACCACAGTGTGGCCTTCAGGGACCTGCCAGTCAGGTGACACCGAGTTCCTTTAAACCCTATCCCCACCCCACACATTCACTCTGTCCTCCCTGACCCAGCCTCACCTACCCCCACCAGGATGGTCTGCTCCAGCACCTGCTACCGGGCAGAAACCGACACCGGGAGGGAGCCTCGGGGGCTCTATCGGGTGCACCATTTCACCAAGGTTGGTGGGGTCAGGACAGCGATGAGGGGTCACCCGGGCCGCCAGGCCTCCTAACTGCTATGCCCCACCCGCCCAGGTGGAGATGTTCGGGGTGACAGGCCCCGGGCTGGAGCAGAGCTCACAGCTGCTGAAGGAGTTCCTGTCCCTGCAGGTGGAGATCTTGACGGAGCTGGGCCTGCACTTCCGGTGCGGACTGGGCCAGAGGGTGGGCTGAGGGAGGGGCAGGATGGCCAGGTGCTCCCCTCTGTGGCTTCCTTTGTTCAGCGCAAGGACAAGGATGGATGAGGTGGAACATCCATGCGTGTCTGCAGTGAGGCCCTCCCGCAGGTCCCCAGCCCCGGCCACCTCTGCACACCAGCTGAGATGCCTCTTTCATGGCCAGTGGGAAGTGAAGCAGGGAAGGGAGGAAGCCCCCATCCTCACTCACCTCATCAGGCACTCGTAGTTCTTGAAAGAGGCCAGGAAAGGTGGACTTTTTTTCTGGGTGACCCAGCAAAACACTGGAGGTACTGTTCTGTTATTTTTTTCCAGTACTGGGGATAGAACCCAGGGCCTTTGTGCTGAGCTACACCCCCAGCACTTTTTATTTTTAATTTTGAGATAGGGTCTTGCTATGTCATTAAGATGCCTAGACTGACATTGGCCATGGTGGTGCAAGCCTATAACTCAGGAGTCTGAGGCAGGAGGTTCACCACACGTTCCAGGCCCCCTCAATCCTCATAATGAGTTCAAGGCTAGCTAAAACTACATAGCAAGATCTTGTTTCCAAAAGTCACCTGCCCACCAAAAAAAAAAACCCAGGCTGGGCTCAAACTTCCAATCCTTCCTCCACCTCCAGAAGTGCTGGATTACAGGCATGCACCACTACACACAGCCTCTTACAGAAGGGAGCATGGCCACGGGGAGCAGCCTGGAGACTCCATGCGCCTTTCCTCCCTTCTGTCACCTGTACTGCCTTCACCACCCCATCTCACCTCTGCCCCTTCATTGCTGTCCCCCCTCCCTCTTGCCTGCCATTTCCCTCAGTTTGGGCTGCCTGCTCTTCCTTGACCTCCATTCTCCCACCATCTTCTCCACCTGTCCCCGCACACCTGCCAACCATCACTGCACTTCTGTCCCCGGCCACAGGGTCCTGGACATGCCCACCCAGGAGCTGGGCCTTCCTGCCTACCGCAAGTTCGACATTGAGGCCTGGATGCCCGGCCGAGGCCGCTTTGGAGAGGTGAGCCCTGCTGGGCTGGTTGGGGGACAGAAAGGAGAGGCCTGTCCCCCACGGCCGAGCCACTGAGCCCCACCTGCCCCCAGGTGACCAGCGCTTCCAACTGCACCGACTTCCAGAGCCGCCGCCTGCACATCATGTTCCACACCGAGGCCGGGGAGCTGTGCTTTGCCCACACGGTGAGGCCCATGTGCCCCCACCCACCTGCCCACTGGCCTCTCCCCATCCTGCGTCCCCCCAGGGCCCTGGCAAGCCCGGCTCTCCTCCCTCCCAGGTAAACGCCACAGCCTGCGCCATCCCCCGTGTCCTCATTGCCCTGCTGGAGAGCAATCAGCAAAAGGTAAGGGGTCAGGGGTCGTCTGGGGAGGGGAGGCTCAAGGGCTGGGGTGGTGGCAGCATCCTGAGGCCTATCTGTCCCCAGGATGGTTCGGTCCTCGTGCCCCCTGCCCTTCAGCCGTACCTTGGCACTGATCGGATCACAGCCCCCACCCACGACCCTCTCCAGTACATCGGCCCCAACCAGCCACAGAAGCCCAGGCTCCCGGACCCATCAGCATCAGGCTGAGAGCCGCCTGCACCCACTCCTGGGTTGTCGCTGCCTCCTGGAGCTCCAGAGGCCCCAAACACTGAGCCTATCTGCCTTGGCACATCCTGATGCCTGTGAACACTAGATCCACACCTGGGCGCCGGGACCCCATAGCCCATCCCTCCTGCTTCCCTGTCCCTCAGTCAGTCAGCAGCCCTGGGGTCTTGGGGGCCACCCAGAGGGCTTGTGAGGATGCTGAATCCCCCCATGTCCCCCGGGACAAGCCAGGCAGTCACCTCGGTGGTTCTGGCCCCAGACCTCCCCAGGTCCGTCCTCCACAAGCTTCCCACTCCACAGCCAGCTCGTTAGCAGCCCCCTTCAGAACACTTCCAGAATCTCTTGGGCCCCTCTTCGGGTCCTGGCCACCCCCATCCCTACTTGGATGTCACAGAAGCCTCTTCACGGTCTTGAGCAAGACAGAGCAAGGCCCTCCCCTGCCTAGAGCTCTCCCTCAGCTCCATCTCAGAAAAGGACAAAACTGTCCTGACATCTGGGTCTGTCCTCTTTGGGTTCTCCAGTCATGTCCACCTTCCCTATATAAAATGTAGTTATGTGAGTGTTGTCTCTCCCCTTTTCTGCGTCTGCTCCAAGAAGGCTGGGATGCTCGTCAATTTTTACACTACTGTAGCTCCACAGCCTAAAAAAAGAGTTGGCATATAATAGGTGCTCAATAAAGATTTTCCTGAATGGGGCCAAGGATATAGCCCAGTGGTAGAACAGTTGCCCTGTGTTCATGAGGCTCTGGGTTCCATCCCCAGCACTGCAAAACAACTCACTGGAGTGGCATGTGGACCTTTGCAGTTCCCAGGGTAAGGCACTGCCCTAAGCACTACACACTTTGCTTCTGCCTCACGAACAAGCTGCAGTAAGTCATCATCAACCTTTTGATAAATGAGACCATTTTAGAGAGTTAGGCAGCTGTCCACGGGCTGCACACTGCCTAAGTACTGGAGCTAGGCATTCAGGCCAGAACCCCACTCCAACCTCTGAGGAAGTACTTTGCAGATGAAAAAATGAGGTACAGAAAGGAGCTGGGTGGGACTAACCAGTGAATGTGTGTGGGTAGCTCAGAACCTAGGTGAGCTCCTTGCCATCTGCAGGGCACTCAGGGCGGGAATTCTGAGGGATGCGTGCAGGGCGAGGGGCCCCATGAATAATTAAGGGTCGTAGGCAGGCTGACCGTCCTGCAGCTGTTGGGTGCCTGGGTGCTGTGGGCGGGGAGGGGGTGTTGGTGAAGTCATTTCCTCCCTGGGGGCCACGTATGGATTATAAGGTGCTGGCGGCAGCTGCAGAGCCAAGGACCTGGGTCCAGACGCCCCGCTATGGCAAGCTGCATGCCTGTCCCCGCGCTCTTGCTGCTGCTGGGGGCCGGTGAGTGCCAGACACTCTGGCCCAGGGGCAGGGGCACTGGGCCAGCAGGGTTGGGCGGGCAGATTGGCCTGGTGAGGGGCTGGATTGTCCAGGGAGCTGGGGTCAGTACCGAGGATGGTGCTCTTCTCTTTCTGCCACAGCCACTGCTGCTCCCCTGGTGCCCACACCCCACAAGGAAGAGGTGAGGAGCATGGACCCCCTGCCCCGGCTCACCCCACTGGCTCCCCTTCCTGCCCAGCCTCCATGATCGCCACCACCTCCCAACCCTCCAGCCACCCACCCCATTTCCCCTGCTCTCAACCTCCCCTCCGACCCTTCTCCCCTATCCCTAGCTGACCCTCTGTCTAGCAGAGGTGGTCACCGAGGTGCTGGCCCTGGGGCAGGCCCAGAGAGGACCCTGCACAGCTCTCCACAAAGGTAAGGGGACCCCCATTCCTCTACAGGGTACCACTCCACCCAGGTTCTGCCCGGGACGCCCCACCTGCCCTCCCACTCACCACATGATGCCTGAAGAAAGGGGTGTCCAGCACCCCAGCCCCCTGGCCTGTCCACCACTCCCACCTGACACAACCTGGCCTCCAGCTTCTTACACACACACACACACACACACACACACACGCCCGGCTCTGTCCCTGCAGAGGGGCAGGACGGGGCTGGGACCGTCCCCAGCATCTGACCCGCCTCTCCCAGCTCTGGGCTATGGGACCTCAAGCAGGACCCAGGACTCCTCAGGTGTCAGTTCCCCGGCTTGACAGCATCTCTCTCTTTCTGCCAGAAATAGGTAAGACGGAGCCCTATGGCTGTACATCCCCCGAGGAAAGGGAGTTGTTGCATGGGGACTCCAAGAAGCAAGAGGCTGGCAAGACAAGGTCCAGCCAGGAGGTGAGGGATGAGGAAGAGGAGGCAGCAGAGAACGCCCACAAGTCTGAGGTGCAGGAACAGGCCATTCTCGAGCAGCTCCACAGCCGGCTCCACCAGGAGGAGGAGAAAGAGGATGAGGCGGAAGAAAAGAAGGGCCCCATGGAGACATTTGAGGATGTGTGGAAGGGGCGCCTAGAAGGTACAGGGCCCCCCCAGAAGCGGGTGGCAGAGGCCAGTGACAAGACCTCCCGGTTTGGGGAAGAGAAAGCTGTGCAGGTGCTAGGCAAGGGCCGCAGCCTGTGGCAAGGGAGAGAGAGGGACACAGGACAGAGACATGAGAACTCACCACACCATCACCAGCAGCAGCAGCAGCAGCCAGGCGCTGAGGCCAAACAGGAGGAGGAGAAAGCCTCAGAGTGGGAGGTGAGTGGGGGAGGTGCCGTCATTACGAACAGCTCCCGGTGTTGGGCGCACACAGTGAGATCCACCACCACCAGGCCAAAGTGGCCCAGCCTGACACGAGGTCCTGGTGACAACATCGAAGCGAGCCCTCTGTTGGCTAAAGTGGCTTCCCTCTGGGATTACACTTGCTGGGAAGGCCGACATTACAAGATTACAGTCACCAGAAAGCCTACCATTACTGCCCGGAGGCAAGTTAGCCACCCTTGCCAGTCCAGCACCAGCAAGTTGGCCGCCAGGAAAGTGGCAGCTGTGGCATGTTCACTAGGCTAGAAATTGACACCATTGCTGGGTAATGGAGAGTTAGATGTCACCAGGGTTGGTGGCACTAACCAAAATGGTCATCACGTCACAAATGGATCACCCACGTTGGGCACCTTTGGTAGTCCCATACAGCAATGCACGCAGACCTCAGATTTCCAGGGTTGTGGCAAACAAGCTGGTGCCCATTGCAGATCATGATGACTAGGATGACTGCTGTGGGCTGCTACCGTGAAAAGTGCTAGGTGACCCCTGGGGCAGCCTGCCTTTGCAGGTAGGCACTGATCATTATTTCTGATCCCACCAGGAACATGACATGGAGCGGCTGGAGCACATGAGTGATGAGCTGAAGAAGGCCACTGTGATGCTGGGGGAGGCGCTCAGAAGGGAGGGCTGACCCGCCTCAGCCCCTCTCCTTTCCCAAGTGCCCTTATGGCTTACGACTATTGACCCCAAAGCCCCCGCTTCACTTGACACCCCACTGCACCCCCAACCTGCAGGGGAGAGAGGAAGGGGGCACCTTGGAACCAAGCCTGAGGGGACAAGTCTGCGCTGGGTGGGGGCTGGGCTCAGACCCACTCAGGAAACCCCCTCCAACACCCACCATACCCCTCCCACCCTTCTGAGTGAATAAAGCACAAAGAAAACCAAGGCTTGTTGTGCGGCCCTTGACCTTGGAGGGACAGGGACCCAGGAATGACCCGGAGGACTTGGAAGGGCACATCAGTCTGGGCTCTTGTCAGAACAGAGGTTTTATTAAACTGGTAATTACATTAACAATTAAAACAAGTCAGATGGGGCCAGGGTCGTCAGGAAGAGGTGTGGACGCTGGGGCAGGAGGTAGCCTGCTTGGGCTCCGGCCACTGTGGACCACGATATCATCGTATTCATCCTAGGGGCAGAGGGGGTGGCAGAGGGGCTCAGGTGGCTGCCACCTTGCCCACTGCCCAAGTCACAACATCACACAAACCCGGTCTTGCCTTGAAACTGAGTTCCCCTCCTTCTGCTTCAACCTCCCCACTCCTGGAACTCAAAGCGCCCTTTCCAAGGTCATAGCTCCCAGGCCTGTGTCCTCCTACTGCTTAGGCTAGGACTGTGCTCACAAACACCTTGAGGTCCCTCCTCCAACCCTCAGCCTTAACCCAAATTCTTCAACCCCACTATTCCACGCGCTCCTTGCCAATGTCTTGGTGCTTGGGTTCTCCAGTCAAATGTCTCCTTACGGCCTGGCAGCCATGTTCTAATCCCTACTACCCAGGTCACCCACCTGCAGCCTAAGATCCCCAACTTCTACTCCACCAAATCACTCCCCATGCCGTGTCTGCCCATCACTACAACTGTGATCTCTCCACCTCTGCCCAAGTTCTGCCTCTGTCGCTGCTTTAGCTTTGCAACTACCTCTGTCCAACTTCTTCCTGCCACCCCACCCAGTGCGCCCCTCACTGCTGCCAATGTCACTCCCAGGGCTGGCTGAGTTCCCAAAGAGCAGCAGCCCCAGGTCCGATGGTCTTGATGTGTCAGTTAGTTATCATCTCGCTTGCTGGGCTGCTGTTTGCCCTGACCCCCTGCTGGGCAGCCCCTGCTTTCCTCCTGACTCACGCCCTCATCTCTGCTGTCACTGTCGTCGCTGTCGCTGTCGCTGTCACTACTGCTGCTGCAGGGACCAGGTTTCTCATCCTCATCCTCAGGCTCAGGGGCTCCATGTGCTCGGAGGAGGTGGGCGAGGTCAGCGTTGGGCCGGAGCAGGGCACTGCCCAGGGGGGTGCGGCCCCCGTACATTCGGGCCGTGGGGTTGGCACCCGCCCTCAGGAGAAGCTCCAGCACATCAGCTGCTTGCGCTTCCACGGCCAAGTGCACGGGGCTCCGGCCACATGTGGGCTCCTGTGGGGTACAGCAGAGTTCAGTGGGCCTGATGAGACAAACTTCCCTACACACACACATACATGCACACACACACTCATCCTCTATAGCCGCTCACCGGTTTGTTGAGGTCAGCTCCAGCATCCCGGAGCACCCGGACCATTTCTGCATCTTTGTGGATGACTGCCACATGGAGCGGCGTGTGGCCTGGGGACAGAGTGACTGGTGTCAGACAATGGGGTAAGGTCCCTGGACCACCAGTGCTATCATCCTGGGGGAGGGCCTTTCCAGGTACATCAAAGAGGCGTGGACATCAGATGCCTGCATCTCAGGTGCTCCAAGGGTCCTGGCAGGTGCCTGGCAATGGGATGTATATGGGTCCTAAGGGTGGGGAGCCTGGGGTCTTTGAAGGAGAGCCCTGATTCTTGGGGCTGGACACCTGAGCCTCTGGTCTCATTTTACAAAGGCTCTGGGATGTAAGCAGTTGAAGAGCCTATGACCTTGGGTTGGAGGGTGGGCTCTGAACACCAGGTACTGCACAACCTGAGTCCATTTGTGGAGGGCCCAGTCCCAGGCAGCTGGGCTTCTTGGTCGAGAGCTGAGACTCAGAAATCAGGGCCGTGGGAGACAGGTCCTTTCCCATGAGGCCTGGTGGAGGAGGCTGCTGCCTGGGGCTGGGACCCTGGAGTGCTAGAGTCCCTGAGTTCTGAGTGGGCAGGGGCTGTGCCACATAGGTAAGAACAGTGATCCTAGATGGATCGCACCTTGCAGGTAGGAGCTTCGGCCCAACCACTGGATCCTGGCAGCTCAGGGTCTGGGTCCTAAGCGGTCTGAAGCCACCATCCTGGATCCCATATATAGGATTCTCAGTAATCTGGGGCCTCAGTGGAGATCCTTGGTCCTGATGCCAGAGTCCCTGAAGCCCGGGGATGATTTTCCAAGGGGCTGGGTCTTGAGTTGGAAAAGCTGAGCCCAGAGGTGGGTGCCCAGCCCTACAGGTACCCAGCCCTACGTGGGTGCCAGGGTCCTTCCCCAACCCTCACCCTCGTAGTTCTCAGCCTCCAGCTGTAGCTTCCAGTCCTCCTCACTCTCCTCCTCCTCCTTCTCCAACTCAGGCTCAGGGTGCAAGGCAGCAGGGTTGTGGCTGGTGTCGCAGGTGCGATCTCGGCTCTGTGTGAGGTAGCTACAGGGGGCTTCCTGGGGACGGGGCTGGAGCAGCACTCGAGCACAGGCTGATGCCCGAACTCGGCAGGCCAGGTGCAAGGCAGTGTGGCCCCCACGTTCCCCTACCAGCAACCCTGCGCCTGCTGCGTACAATTTCTCCACGGTGGATGCCTCCCCTAGGATGGCTGCCAGGTGCAGGGCTGTCTACAGGAGTGGAGAGCAGAGGTTGAGATCACATGGAGGACCCCAGACCCCAAACCCTGTATTATCCCCAGTGACTTACTTGCCCTAGGTCATTCTGCAGGTCCAGGTACTCCGTGCCCGCGGAGAAGCCTAGAAGGAAGTCCAGGAAGGGCTCGTGCTGATGTATCACGGCCAAGTGCAGTGCCCTAGGGACAAAGACAAAGATCAGGGGCAGAGGTCAGGTATTGTGCATGCTGTAACAAACATGGAGCAACTACTGTGCATTAAGCATTGCAACCACAGTTCTGAAAGCAGCTGTTAATATCTAGGAGGGTCACAGAGCAGAGTTAATTCAGCAAATTGGTTTAATCAATGTTTATTAAGTGGGACTTCTACTTCCGCCCAAAATGAAGTAATATGATCACTTTCTCTCCCATCTGAAACAACTGAAAACAAAATCAGACAAAAAACAGTATATGAAGCCATAGTTTTGAAGACACTAGACATCATGCAATAAATCGCACTAATTCCTGAAAGACAGGGATCGTGAGGTGAAGCCCTACAACTGATTGCCACAGGTCATTGTCGGAGAGAATTTCCAAGCCACGGTAGGTGCAGAGACAGGGAGCCCAGGCAGAGGTCTCGGGTTGTGACTGAGGGTCTGGAGAGACCAGGGTGGCTGAGCCATAGGGTCAAGCACCTAGGAGAGAGCTGCACAGGGAGAAAGCCCTGGACATCTGCAGAGGATCCCAGCAAGTATTCAGGAGGACATTGACCAGAGCACGTGTGTGAGTCCGGGGGTGAGGGTGGGACAGTCGCCCAAAAGGATTAAAGAAAAGTATCTCTCATTCTCTCAGAATAGTGCCTGTTCCCACCAGGTGGACTAGAGAAACTTGTAATTCCTACAACACTGGGTATTATACTCTGGAAGATTTTGCCTCAGTAGTGGGGAATAATAAATCTTAGGAACATTGCTCCATATCCAACTAACAAATCATAAAGGCAAAACTCAAGAAAAGATCAAACTAATTCAAAGTGATTTAACTGCATCCCAGAACAATACTCAGGAATATTTGTAGGAATACAAAACTATCCAGACTAGTAGGGTAAACTTCTCAATGTCTGGCTTCTAACCAAAGCCTATCGGGTATGCAAGAAAATGATTCATCATGACAATCATCAACTAATTGAAACAAACCCAGAAATGACATGAGTGTTAGAACTAGCAAGCAAGAATATCAAAATAGGGCTGGAGATTTAGCTCAGTGGCACAGTGCCTGCCTGGCAAGCACAAGGTCCTGAGTTCAATCCCCAGTACCAAAAAAAAAAAAAAAAAAAAGAATATCAAAATAACTGTAACTGTATGCTGTGTGTTCAAAAAGTTAAGTAGGGACACAGATGATAGGAGGAAAATCTCAAACTGAACTTCTAGACATAACAATATCTGAAATGAAAAAGCACTGGGTGGGATTAACAACACATCACAGCAGAAAAGTTGAATGAACTTGAAGACATAATGACAGGAACTATCCAGAATGAGCCATGCTAATGAATGCCCCTCCCAGCTAGTTGAGAAGCTGAGGCAGAAGGATCTCTCTTCTCTCTCTTTTTTTTTTTTTTGAGCCAGGATCTCATTGTGTATCATAGGCTGGCCTCAAACTCACAGACATCCTTCTGTCTCAGCCCCAGAAGAATTTCATGAGCCCAGCAGTTTGAAACCACCAGCCTGAGCCATATAGTATCACCAAGACCCAACCCCCAAAGAGAGAAGAGCATCATTGAGCTATGCGACAACTTCAAGAAGCCTTGTATATGTTTAATTGAGGTCCCTAAAGGAAGCAGGAGACAGAAAAAACATTAAAAGAAATAATAGATGGCAAATTTCCAAATTTGATAAAAACTATAAATCCACAGATCGGAGAAGCTCAGTGAACCCCATGAACAAGAAACATGAAAAAAAACAAGGTTCATCACAAGCACACTGTTCAAAATCAGTGATAAAGACAAAAGTCTAAAAAAAATATTCTTGCTGGTAGTATATGAAGATATTGGTGAAATTTCAGGAGGAAATTTATCTCACTACCCAGCAAGAAATTATCTTTAAATATAAAAATTTTTAAATAGCTTAAAATTTAAAAGGTAGAAAAAAGATTTGCCATGCTAATATCAGTTAACTGAGCTAGACTTCTTTTTTTTTTCAGTAGTGGGGATCCAACTCAGTACCTTCAGATTGCAAGGCAGGCACGGTGCCACTGAGCTAAATCCCCAGCCCTGAGCTGTACTCTTGATAAGTGGCTAAGTTGCCCAGCCTGGGCTTGAATTTGTGATCCTCCTGTGCTACCATACCTGGCTAGAACGTAACTTCGTAATGTTAAGAGTTTAATTAATCAACCAACAATAAAAGAAGCTTAGGGTATAGCTTAGTGGTAGAGTGCTTGCCTAGCATGCACAAGACCCCAGGATGAATCCCCAGTACTGCAACAACAACAAAATCCTAAACACTTGTGGTCCTGATAACAGCTTTGATTATATAATGCAAAACCTAACAGAACTACACGGAGAAAAAAACAAATTCACAATTATAGTTGGAATATATCTCTCTTTCAACAATTAATAGAAGAAGCAGACAGAAAATCATTATAGCGGACTTGAATACTGTTCACCAACACAACCTCTAAACATTTAGAGAACACTACTCTTAACAGCAGGATTTATATTCTATTTAAATGCACACACATGGCCGGGAATTTAGCTCAGTGGTTCCGCTGTCTGCCTTGCAAGCAGAAGTTCCCAAGTTCGATCCCTGGTACAAAAAAAAAAATGCACAAACAATATTCAGGACCATAAAATAAGTCTCAATAAATCTGAAATTCAGATCATATGAAGTATGTTCTTTACTCATGATAAAATTACATCAGTAACAGAAAGATATATGGAAATTCTTCCAAACATATAGAAACTAACATACTTTTACATAATCCACTGATCAAAGAAGAAATCAAAAGAGAAATTAGAAAGTATACTGAATTAAATGAAAATTAAAATGCAACATATCAGAATTTGGGAGATATTGCTGCAATTTCAAGGGGAAATGTATAGCACCCAACACTTACATCAGTAAAGAAGGCCTCAAATCAGTGGCCTCAGCTTCTGCTTAAGAAAGTACAAAAAGAACAAATGAAACCCAAAGTGATCAGAAGAAAGAAAATAACAGTGTCAGAACAGGGACCAATAAAATAGAAAATAAAGAAACAATAAAGAAAATTAATGAAACCAGAGCTGGTTCTTTGAGACCAGTGTTTATTGAGTGCCTCCTATGTGTCAGGCCTTGTTTGAGTCACTGGGCCTATAGCAGTAAACACAACAGACAAAAAACCCAGGTACAGCCCCTTATGTAGGCCTTTAAAACAGCTTGTTCCTTCTGCCTAGAATGCTCTCCTCTCGGTTTATCTACTTGTCTCATTTTCTTACTTTTTTTTTTTTTTTCAAAGAACTTATTACCTTTTGGCAGACTTTTTTTCTTTCCTTCTCTCTGTTTCTTTTACTTAGCAAAATAAAAGATTGAGACCTTTTTCTTTTCTAATGTAAGTGTTGGGTGCTATAAATTTCCTCCTGAAATTTCACCAATATCTTACAAATTTTGACATATTGTGTTATTTTCGTTATTTTTACTTAATTCAATATACTTTCTAATATCTCTTGATTTCTTCCTATCTTTTCTTCCTTTCCTTCCTGCCAACCTGTCTTTATAGCCCTACTAAAATATATAAGCCATAACAGTAAGTTTCTGTATTTTCACTGCCATACCACTCCTATCTAAAATAGGGTCTGAAATGTGTAGTATATGAGAAGTATTTAGTTAACAGATGAATCGCTGTTCTCATGGAACTTACATAGATTGTTTTTAAATTTAAGCTTTGAAAATCAGTGCTCACAAGACAGGATCACAGAGTCAAGGAGAAAGTATTACTAATTTTGGAAATCGAAGTCTAAGGCTCAGAAAGGATCAAGATCATAATCGGAGGATAGATGTCAGGAGGAACCTGAGCCGGTTTTAACAAAAGTCACCAGGCTGGGGTCAGGAAAGTTCAAATCGGGTTTTGGGATCAATTGGTAGGATGTGGATTCCAAGAGCTGAAAATAAAAGGTCAGAAAAGATTGAGTTAGGATGCAAGCAGGAGATTGGTTTTGTTACAAGGCAGCACTTAGGAGTTAGGGGTCAGTAAGCCCAGCGTCAAAAGTCAGACTTTGGAGAAAAAGGATAGGAAGCCACAGGGATCAGAGGCTGATAGGCAAACAGATGTCGGATCCTAGGGCTCCGTTTAGCAGTCTAAGGTTCACTCACGTGTCCCCGTCCTCCGTGACGTAGCCAAAGACGAGGGGCGCCCACGACAGACCCGGGCCCAACTCCGCGCACAGCCCCGAACCTCCAGGAGCTGCTGCGTCCGGACCCAGAGAACCCAGGCCGCTGTCGCACCACTCATCAGCATCTGTAGCTTTTCCCAAGCACGCGACCCCAGCCATGGCCCCAAATACCGCAGTGACCCCCTACGGCCAACCGCCTGGCTGGGCTCTGCGGGGAGCTCAGGCGCTTCCGCCCTACCGGGAATTCCCCAACACTCCCCCTAGTTCACCCAATCAAAATGGAGCAAATTGCTCACGTCTCGCCTGCGTACCATGTTATGACCAATCAGAATATTCAGTTAGGTTACTGCTCTATAGTCGTCCCCGCATTTTCCGGACGCCCTTTAGCAACATGGCTGCCGACGCCAGGCCCTTTGGTACTTGTAGTCTGGCCCTCGCGTTTCTGCCTTAAGGAAGGCGCGCGCTGGCAACACGTGAAAGTTTTTAATGTGGCCCCACTGGTTGCTGGGAGTTGTAGTTCTCTGCCCTATTCCTGCCCCTTCAGTTTCCGGTGCCGTCACGGGACAGAGCAGTCGGTGACAGCCCCAAGGCCCCCGCCCCGCGCCCATGGCCGAACCGGACCGTGAGTCGGGGACCCCGGTGGGAGGGTCGGGCCGCGCCGGGGCCTGGCTGAGGGCTACAGGCCCCGGGGCCCGAGGGCAGGCGAGGTGGGCGGGAAATAGAGGCCGCATGAAGGGAGTGGAATTGGGGGGCCGTTGCTAAATGGTTCATATTGCTAAGTTGGCGAGTTTCTGGGTTGCGAGTTTTAAGGGTCCGTTTGGCATGTCCGCTTGCCAAGTTGCTAATGATCGTGTGTTTCTCGCATTTTCGCTAAAGACCCTAGTTACTAAGGATCCGAGTTGCCGCGGTCCCGGTTGCTGGTGTTAAGGGCAACTGTAGGGTGTTAGGGAATCCCTGGTATCCCCTCCTATCTCTTCCTTGTAGTTCCTGTGCCTCTCCTAAACCTATCACCTCCACTGCACTTCTCTCCCAAGCCTGCCTCCCAGCTGAGGTATCTTCTCTACTTTGTAAACCTAACCCTCTGACACTCAACTCACTACCTTCCTAATTCCTCCGAAGTCTTCCTTCCACTGTGTCTCCCAGATATCTCCTTCTCCTCCTAACCTTCTCGATCTCAGCTTCTGTGCACATCCATAACCACCTCTACAACTAACCCCCTCCACTCCAAGACCTGCTTTGCTCTACCCCTCCCTCCCTGTTTTATTTTTACCACCACCAACCCCAGTGTAACTAGGTTGGTGGGTCTTCTCCCCCCAGCTACCACTTTGAACCCCTTTGTTCCCCTCTTAACCATTCCCCCCACTGTAACCACATCTGCTCCCCCTCCTCCCCAGCCTCTGACCCTCTGGAGACCCAGGCAGGGAAGGTGCAGGAGGCTCAGGTGAGATGGGGAAGGGGTGGAGGGAAGGAGAGAGATCTTGCTCCCCCGCCCATCCCACACTGGTGGGAGGTGGCAGAGGGGAGATTGTTACCCAAACCCTCAGCCCATTGCCCCAGCCCCTACCCCCACCTGGCACAGCTTCCTGGAGACTGTCAGCAAAAAGTGTCCAGACCTGCCCTTCCAAACTTCCCTCTTTCCTTGCTCTGGGCACCCCAACCCCATTCCCTTCTCACCCTCATTTGTGCTGGCCCTGGAAGAGTCAGGTATCAAATTTGGTTCCTGAACTCACAGATCTACTGGACAAGTGACCAGAAAATGACCCTACAGGGTGATTGTGAAAGTAACTTAGGGCACTGTAGGAGCCAGAGCAAACTTTCTGGGTCACAGAGGACTCCCGCTGGGCCCTTCCTAGAGGACCCCACGGGCTGATCTAGGAACCAGCCTGAGCTATAGTCACAACATAGTAAATGAAGAGTAACTTGAAATTTTCTTAGACAGCAATGGGAAATGGTGCTCCATGTAGAGGGTACAGCTTGTGCAGAGAACTGGGGCAGGAAAGAGTGTGATGTGCTGCTTTGGTGGTTGGGTGTCTAATTAGACTGGTGGGTAGTCTTTATTGCCTACTTACTCCAGCCAGGAATTCTGTTTGGTGCTTCTTGGGTACTATCTCCTTTAATCTTCCCAGCATGCCTGTGAGGAGTAAGGCCCACCACAGCTGTTTTACAGACAAGGAGTTGGAGGCAGAGCTCTTAGGTAACTTGTCCTTTGGTAGAGAGGAACAGGAAAGATTTGAGACCCCGGGCACTGGGTACATTGCCCTCCAGATGCTGCAGGGAGAAGACATTTGAAGGCATCTGACAACACCACCCCACACTCCCCAACAGTGCCTCACTGTCTCCACCCTGACAGAATGCCAGCCAACCTGTAGCCACAACACTCTTCACATGTAGGTCAGAAGCTGTGATTAGGCTAGGTGTGGTGCACGTGCCTGTACCCCCAGCCCTCTGTAGGCTGGGACAGGAGGATTGAAAGTTTGAGCTCAGCCTGGGCACCTTAGCACCTAGTAAGACCTTGTCTCAAAATAAAAAATATAAGCGCTGGGGATGTAGCTTAGTGTAAAGGCCCTCAGTTCAATCCCCAGTATTGGGGAAAAAAACAAAAACGCAAAACAGCTGTGATTACCCCACAAAGGGACAGCAGAGCCATGTCGAGTGCGTGACAGCCTCCTGTCAGTCCTCAGTGTCTCACTGGCCTGGGGCCCAGAGCACAACCATGGCCTGAGAAAAGGTCTCATGGTCAGAATGGATCTTCAGTACCAAAGAGTTGTGAGGCTGTAAACTCCAGCATTGTCCATAATAGGCAGAACTGGAAACAGCCCAACCGGCTGTTTGAGAGACGGGTTAAGTGAACCCGCACAATGCAATACTGTGTAGCTGCTTAAATGAACAAGGTGGGTCTATGCTATATTGTTCAGTGAAAAATGCAATGAGATGACTTATTTCTAGAAAAAAAATGAGTTTTTATACTCAAAGAACAAATCTGGAGTAGCTACTATTACACTGTTAATAATGGTCGTCTCAGCGTGGTGGGTCGGGGCAATTCCAAGGCAAGTGCCCGTGTTACTTGTCTATGGCCAGAGTGTTTGCAAAGCTTGTGTAATCTTTAAAACGGATTTTTTAAAAATTTAATGTTTGCAAGGGAAGTTCTCGTTCAGAAAGTCTCAGAACCAGAGTAGTGAGTGTCTGGGGTGGGCCTGCGTACAGGAGACTGAGCTGTAGGCTGCGTGTTTGGCAGCATCATTGCAGGCCGGCCCACCTCAGAAGTGTTCGGCGGTAGATGCCTAGAAGCCCTGGCCCCAGAGCCGAGTGTCCTGTGGTGAGCACGGGCAGTCCCTGCCCTTCCCTTGTATTGCCAACAGTGTGATGATAGACTGCGGAGATGTTTGTGATCAAAGGAGGAGACTGGAGGAGCCAAAGAAGTGCTCTGAAGTGGAAGCATGTGCACCGGCCATCATGCGGAGGCCGAGTGGACAGGATGCCCTGGCGAGCTGAGGCTGTGCCTGAGGCAGGAGGCAGACTGGGGGACAGGGAGGCCACACTGAGAGGAGCCCGGGCTGAGGAGCAGGTTAGGGAGAGATGTGAGGCCAGTCTGGAACAAGGTGGAAGTGAGAGGCCTGAGGGTCACATGGGCGAGGTGTCCAGGAAGCCTCAGGATCCCTGGGTCTGGGGATGGCAAGGTGGTATCTATCGTCAGTGACTATGCAAGGCCATGGGCACAAGTGTGGCAGGTAGCCAGGGAAAGTGGCAAGGGGAAGCAGGAAGGGCGCAGGACAGAGTCCTAGAGCACTGCAGTTGGGAGGGCCCACAAGGTGAGCACCAGGCAGGTGTAATCCATGGGCTGCCCTCATACAGCAGGCCTGTGAGGCTGCTGGGGAGAGACAGTGGGCCCACACTCCAGGGGACAGGGACGCCGGCATATGACAAGAGCAAAGCTCAGGGCTCCCTGAGCGCTGGTGCTGTGTGGCGCCTCCTGTGTGTTAACTCTGCTCCTCCTCACTGCAGCCCTCTGCGCTCCATTCTCAAGATGAGGAGCACCAGAGCCCACACAGTGAAGGTGCTTGAGAGGTAGCGCTCCTCAGGAGCAGCAGGCCCAGGTCTTCCCCAGGCAACCTGTCCCAGAGCCCGCACACTGACCCTAGCACCGGCCCGCACCACCCCTCACTTCCCCAGGGCCACATCCCAGCCAGAGCCTTCCCTCCCAAATCTGGCACCCCTAACTCCCCTTCCTCCCTAACCCCACCTCTCGGGCATGGCACCCCACCCCACCCCTTCCAGGACACAGACTTGGACGCTGAGGAAGGCGCATCCGGTGGAGAGGCAGAGAGTGAGTGTCTTCCTTGAGGGGCAGGACTCTGGGAGGTGATTTTAGAACAAGGAATGACATTCGAAGTATATAACTTTGTTGGATGTGGCAGCCCATGCCTGTAGTCTCACAACTTGGGTGGCTGAGACAGGAGGATCACAAGTCTGAGACCAGCCTGGGCTACACAGCAAGTTCCCAGGCCACTCTAGATCGGAGAGCAAGACCCTGTCTTAAAAACAGGGGGCCGATGGCTGGGGATTTAGCTCAGTGGTTTTGCCGCCTGCTGCGCAAGCGCAAGGACCCAAGTTCGATCCCCGGTACCGGAAAAAAAAAAACGGGCCAGAGATTTAGCTCAGTCATTCGGCCACCTGCCTCGAAAGCACAAGGTCCCGAGTTCAATCCCTGGTACCAAAAAAAAAAAAGCAAAAGAACAGGATGTAATGAAAGACTTGGTGCCAGTACCAAGCAGGGCTGAGCCAAGCATCATGCCTTCTGTGGTGAGGAGAGGGGATGCCCAGGGCTGGGGCGGGGGCCTAGGGGACACCATACATCCTTGCTGAATGCTCACCAGCCGCTGCCTCTCTTCTTTTCATCAGTGGACTTCCTGAGGAGTCTCTTCTCTCAGACCCTGGGCCTGGGCTCCCAGAAGGAGCGTCTGCTGGATGAGCTAACTCTGGAAGGGGTGGTCCGCTACATGCAGAGCGAGCGCTGTAAGTCACCCCCACCCTGCCACTGTCCCCGCTCCTGGCCCCTGTGACTTCACACCTGTTGTTTACAAGTAGCAAGAAACCCAACTCTTTGCCCAGAAAGGAATGTGTGGACCTTAAAATAGAGCTGTGGGCATGGCTGGATCCAGGGGCTTCAGTGTTCTCCAAAATCACTACTTCTCTGTATTAGGGTACAGTGACTTCCTGGCAGCTCCAAATACAAGTTCTACCAGCCTAGCAACTACTCTTCAAAGAACACACCTTTTTGCTAATGGTCCAGGCAGAATGGTAGAGATTGGCTCCCATTGGCCCAGGCTGAACCAGTTTCCCTGTCTGATTGGCCAGACCTGGGTCACATCTGTTGCTGAATGAATTACTGTGCTGTGATAGGCCAGGCCTTTTTCCTAGAATGAGGACAATAATAGTGCCTCATGGGATTACTGGGGACGCTAAACACACTAAGAGGAATGTAAATGTTTAGAGCAGGGCCTGGACCTCACAAGAGCTGTGCTGTGGTTATTGCTACAGGAGGCAGTTTCAGGTGTGGTGTGTAGTGCCTGCTGGCTGGGTCACCATGAAATGCATATTTCTTTTTTTTTTTTTTTGGTACCGGGAAGCGAACTTGGGACCCTGTACTTGCGAGGCAGGTGGCGGAACCACTGAGCTAAATCCCCAGCCCAAAATGGATATTTCTTGCTGTGAGTTGTGTCACAAAGTCTGAGAAACTAGGCCTCAGCAGTCCTTACCAGGCACAATGGGCCTTGTGAGAGTCCTGAACAGCCCTTTGTTGAGGGCGTCTTCTCCGGTTTCCCTGTCCTCCAGCTGCTGCTGTCTCCCTCCTTGGGTGGCCAGGCCTGCTGCCCTGAGCCTCCTCCTCTGGGGCCGGCTGGGCATCTGCCCACAGCCATCCCCTGGCCTGGATGGCCCAGAAGAGAATGCAGGTAGTAGCTACAAAGTATTTGTTCCTTCTATCCTCCTGTGTCTGGGTCTTGGAGTAGTCAGCCCATGAGTGTGTCCATGAAGGAATATTAATAAGTAATAATTTACTGAAGCTGGGCATGGTGGTGCACACCTGTAATCCCAGCACTCTGGCAGGCTGAGGCAGGAGGATTGCAAGTTCGAGCTCAGCCTGGGCAACTTAGCAAGATGCTGTCTGAATATAAAAACATTAAAGGAATAGAGATATAGCTCGGCGTGAAGGCTCTGCATTCAATCCCCAGTACTGCAAAAGAAAAAAAAATTTGCGACCTGGAGATTTAGCTCTGTGGTGCCACCGCCTGCCTCAAAAGCGCAGGGTCTCGAGTTCAATACCCCGTACCAAAAAAACATTTGAGTCGTCACTGTTTGCCAGGCTCTGGGATAGGCACTTTACAGATGTCCCCTGATTTGATCTTCCCATTATAACTGTGAGGTCATCACAGCATGATCTGGGCAGAGAAGGAAACTGAGGGACAGAATGGTTGTGACTCGGGGCAGGTCAAGAGGCTAACAAGTGGCAGAATGAGATTTGTCCTCAGGTGCCCTGAAAACAGAACACGTGCTTCCCCTCGTCTCCGCCTGCACTGGACCAGCCAGAGATGAAGCCGCAGTCCAGGCTGTGGTGGGCTTTGACCTTTGTTGGTCCTCGCCGTCCTTCCATGCACAGGATACCCCTGGGGTGCCCAATTCATGGGGTGTCACACTTGTGTCTGTCATCAGCTGACAGGCAGATGCCAGGGCTCTGTGTGTCAGGGGGCCTGCCAGGCATTAGCTGAGGCAGCGCAGGGCTATTTGTGCTGGGCTGTGTGCTTGTGAACCTATTTGACCAGTCTTCCCTGTCTTCTCTTCTGAAAACTGGAACAAACTGCAGAACAAAATACTTACTATGTGTACAAGTGGTGGGTCTCGGGAAGTTTAGTACAATCGACTCAAAGGGTGTAAGTCACGCATACACTTGTATGTACTGTTTGCTGCGTGCCAGGCACTGATCTATACAGTGGCATCTTCACTATACATGAATCCATTCATTCTCTCAGGAGCTACAAAGCCAGAAGTATAATTACACCTATTTTACAGAGGAGGAAGCCAAAGCCCTGAGTAGTGAAAGAAACAGTGTAGTCAGGGATTTAACTCAGTGGTTTCAGTGCCTGCTGCGCAAGCACAAGGACCCGAGTTCGATCCCTGGTAACAAGAAAAAAAGAAACAGTGTAAGCCCCCATCCTTGCTGGTGAAGAGGAGAACTGGATTTGGATCCAGTCTCCACTCTTCTTGCCTGGCAGTGGGTTGAGGGTGGCAAATCTTCGGTCTTTGCCTGAGGCTTCTGGAGGCTGATGTGCATTTGCTTGTGGAGGAAAGAAATATGATAAGAAAATGTATACAGAAACAGAAGGTTACCTTCTAATAATAGAGGGGGGTCCAGAAGATGGATTGTTACTTTTCTTGTTTTGGGTGGTACTAGAGGTGCAACCCAGGTACTCTGTCACTGAGCCACACCCCACCCTCAGAGATTTTTATACTAACCTGCACCTTTTCCTGGAGAATGTGTCTTTGTCTAGTCTACTTACAAGGAGAAACTTCTGGTCCTGTGGTCTCTTCTTGAGTTTTCTTTTTTTTTTTTTACTTTTATTTTATTTTATTTTTTGTTTTTTTGGTGTTTTGAGATAGGTCTTACTATGTAGCCCAGGCTGGCCTTGAACTCATACACTCCTGCTTCAGCCTCCTGAGAGCTGGGATCATAGGTGTGCACACCATGCCCATCTTCTTGAGTTTTCTTAAACTGTTGTCATTTCAAACAGTGCATTCTCAGCCAGCCTGGTGATGCATGCCTGTAATCCTAGCACTTGGAAGGCTGAGGTACGAGGATCCCCATGAGTTCAAGGCCAGCTAAACTGTATAGGGAGACCTTGTCTCAAAACAAACAAAAAAAATCAAACAGTGCATTCTGCCAGTCCCTGTATTCCCTGCTCTGGGCCTTGGTGTCCTCATCTGTAACTGGGGCCAATAACACGATCCCCCTGAAGACGCTGGGAGAACCATCAGCCATCCGAGATGCTGGCCCCACACCCAATATGGAGGAAGCAGCGTCACAGCCAGGATGGCTGATGTTGTCGGCTGAGCAAACTGTCAGATGATGTTGCCTTCCCATCCCCCAGGTCAGAGGGTCATCTGCTTGGTGGGAGCTGGAATCTCCACATGTAAGTTCCCCTTCCCCAGTTGCCCGCACAGGCTAGGAGGGGCCCTGTCTTCATCCAGCCTGGGAGGAGCCCGGGTGCCGTGTGATGGGGCCAGCATCCCCAGTCAGCTGTCCCCGCCCCTCTTCCCCCAGCTGCGGGCATCCCCGATTTCCGCTCTCCAACCACTGGCCTCTATGCCAACCTGGAGAAGTACCATCTTCCCTACCCCGAGGCCATCTTTGAGATTGGCTATTTCAAGGTACACATCTGTAACAAGTGGCCGGGGGCGGGGGGCACCTGCTCCAACCCTCGAGTCATCTGGGGCATCGGGCCCTCTGACACTCTCTCCCACAGAAACATCCGGAACCCTTCTTTGCCCTTGCCAAGGAACTGTATCCTGGGCAGTTCAAGGTGAGATACTATTCAGCAGGGCAGGCGGGGATAGCAGGCATAGGAAGGCCCCCTGTAGGACCCGCTGACTGTTACTAGAGAGGCATCATGGACGTGGGCTCTGGACTCAGGCCGGGGTTCAGCTCCTGCATTTCATCCTTAGACCACAAGCCTCAGTTTTCCCATCTGTGAAATGGAGCTAATGGTGGTATCTAAAAAGGGTTGCTGTAAGGTGTAAATGAGTTCATACATCAGAGCCAGGCAGCCTGGTTGCAAATGCCAGCCCTACGACTTCCTGATCAGGTGACCTTGGCAAGCCACCCTCCCCAGGCCTTGGTCTCCTCGTCTGAGGGATGGGGTAGAGAGGGGATGCTGGTCTCCCTCATGAGGCCCTTGTGATGATTCTATGAAGAAAAATAGACACAGCGCCTAGGACAGTCCCTGGGCCATGGTGAAGGTGCATAAACGTTCTCTGTGACATCGGCATTGTCGTTACTCCCCTTCAGCCGACCATCTGTCACTACTTCATCCGCCTGCTGAAGGAGAAGGGGCTGCTCCTGCGCTGCTACACACAGGTAGGCAGCACTGCAGCCAGGCACTGTGAGCACTGCGGGGCACGGGACCTGGACAGAGCTTTGTGCCTATGAGCTCGGCTACCCAGGAGGCCTTGGGGCGAGGGCTCTGCCTACTGCTTCCCTGCTGTGACCTGTGCTGACTCACTTCCTCTCAGCCTCAGTTTCCCCTTTATAAAATCAGCTAGAATGGCTTCAACCTCTCAGGTTTCAGAGAGGTGGCAACGAATTCCTCTCTGGCCATCTCACTTGTTCTGCAAAAGGACCCCATGTCTGAGGGGACACCGTTGGCACCATGCAGTCCAGATTTCCTGTTGTTCTGATAACAGCAAAGTGACTTGAGCCAGTACACCGGTACACCATGACAGTTTTCCAGCAGGGGCCCGTTGTGTCTGAAGGAAGGGGCACCTTGTCATAATTGCACAGAGGAACCTGGCAGTGGATGTGCCATGGGCCATGGCTTGCGTGTGCCAGGGTAGTGGGCAAGGGTGGCTCACACTGATGGCCTCTGGACTGGTCCCTGAGTCCCCGGAGTCTCACACCCCAACGGGAGAACATTGGCGCCTCTGTCCTTGTGTCATGGGTACAAGCTGAGGTGACAGGACGTACCAGCTGTGTGCACCTGTGCCAGCAGTCCCTCCCCCAGCCCACCTGGCGCAGCAGGAGGAAGGGCTTGAAGGTGGAGGGGGTGCACATCCCTTCAGGCCCATTGGGTGCCTGCAGCTTCAGAAGCAGCCAGCAGAGGGCGGATGGGTCCTTTCTAGGTCCAGCTTTCTCAAATGGGGTGGTTGGTGGTAGCTGTGGGGAGGAGATGGTCTCCTCCTTCTAAGAGGCCCCCATGCTCAAGGCACACCTGACCCAGACATGGAGCTTTACTCACGAGCCAGGGCTCAGCAGTGATTGTGTGGCTCCCGCTGAGCTGAGTGCCTTCCATGTGTGATGCTGTGGTCTTCCCTTGTCAGCTTCGGTGACAGCAAATGTTCACTCTTGGGTCCAACCCAGTGCCAGGCCCTGCCAGCAGCGAATAGAGCAGATATCCCTGCCTTCTTAGAGCTGACACTCAGGTGGGAGGTGACAAGGACAAGATGGAGAAGCCATAGACCTAGTATGTCACATGGTGACAGGTGTCTGGAGCACAGTTCCACAGAGAGGAATCAAGGCTGTGTGTGTCAGGTGGCCATGGAGGCCTCATTGAGAAGGAGACTTTTAAGCAAAGACTTTAGAAGCAAGGGAAGGACCCCTGGAGCTATGGGGGGAAAGATGTGTTCTGGATGAAAGGAAGAGCCAGTGCAAAGGTCCTGAGGTGACATTGTGTATTGCTCATTCAGAGAATCCCAAGAAGCAGGGGATTTAGCTCAGCAGTTCCGCCGCCTGCCTCACAAGCGCAAGGTCCCAAGTTTGATCCCCAGTACCAAAAAAAAAAAAAGAATCCCAAGAAGCCAGGTGTGGTGGTCCACATCTGTAATCCCAGCACTGGAGAGGCTGAAGCAGGAGGATTACCTCAAGTTCTGGGCCAGCTTGGGCTGCATAGTGAGTTCAAGGTCTGCATGAGCTACATAGCTAGATCCTGTCTCAAAAAACCAAAACCAGGGCCAGGGATTTAGCTCAGTGGTTTCGACGCCTGCTGTGCAAGCGCAAGGACCCTAGTTTGATCCCTGGTACCAAAAAAAAAAACAAAAAAAACAAAACCAAACACAAATGAAAGACAAAGAATCCCAAGAGACTGGATCTGTGAGCAATGAGGAGAGCTAGAGGAGAGGAGAGGAGACACAGGGAGCGGATGAGGGTGGATGCTACCCAACTGTGCGTGGGGCAGGGAGGCTTCGTCCTTTCCCGGAGCCAGTGTGCTCTGCTTGGGGGCAGGGTGCGACCTGATTCAAGAACACAGCTCCTTCTGGCTTCCGGTGGGGAGACGCTGAGAAGGAGGGGAGGGCCACACAGAGACAGGCAGCAGGCCGCTGCGATGCTGAGGGGAGGAGGAGGCCAGAGCGACTGAGGTGAAGTGGGTGACTCCTGGATCACTGTGGCGGGACAGAAGGGGGCAGCTGAGCATCTGCTCTCCCTTCCCGAGAACATGGATGTGCAGGTGCCCGGCAGGTGAGGGACTGAGATGCTGAGACAGATGCCCACATGGATGGGGGAGACAGCAGGAACAGGCCCCGGGCTGGAGCTCAGAGATGCCCACTGCAGTAGCAGTGGGTGGTGTTTACTCACCAGCCAGGAGGGGAAACTGAGGGCTCGCACACAGGCACCTGGAGGCTACTGACAGCTCTCTCAAAGGCAGAACACCCTGGCCCTTGAAGCCAAGTGTGGTAGCACAGCCTGTAATCGCAGCACTTGGGAGGCTGAGGCAGGAAGATCCTGAGTTTGGAGCCAGCCTGGCCTACATACAGAGGTTCTGTCTCAAAAAGAGCCATAACAAAACCAAAAAGTTCGGCCCTTAACCAGAGTGCACAAGACCATGTGCTGTTTTCACCAGAAAGCCAAAATGAGTACATTTGGTCAATCTTCTCCTTACCTGCAGTTTAAATTTTCTTTAAAAATGTTCTATATTCACTCATTTTGAGTAAATGCATTGCCAGGCTGGTCTCAAACCCCCACCCCATCTCACCACTCCCCTGCACATGGCTCTGCTCCTGAATGGTGACGAATCAGCACTTCTGAAGCTCGGTGTGATGCTATGTTTAGCTCACGACACAGGACCCATTCACACATTAGGGCAGCTCTGGAGTTCAGTCAAGCTCGCTGATCTCACGCTGATCTCACGGCAGAGCGGCTTCTGGTCCTGTCCAGTTATACACAGGCTGGGGTCGGGGTGGGCAGCTCGGGGCCCTGGGTCCCCTCCCTAGCTCTGCAAAACAATGTATATCTGAGGTATTCGTGCTATTCATGAGGTTTCGTACTTGGCTTTTTCTTCATAGCCTCTCTTGCAGAAGACCCTCGCAAATCCATACCCGCATAGCAGCCTCACACTTTTTCAAAACAGTCTCATGCCTTTTTTCTTTTGCTTTTTTTTTTTCTTTTGGTGCTGGGGATAGAACCCAGGATCTTGTATGTGCCAGGCAAGCACGCACTCTGCCACTGAGCTGTACCCCGGCCTAAGTCTGTTCTTTTTTTTGTTTGGTTTGGGTTTTTTTTGTTTGTTTTTTATTTGGTACCAGGTATTGAACTTAGGACCTTGCGCTTGCCAGGCAGGAGCAGCACCACTGAGCTACATCCCCACCCCTGAATATGATTCTTTTGTAAGCACTTTGCCTTCATTTTCAGATCAGTGCGAAGGTCACACTTGAGGGGGAGACCCCAGCCCCCTACTTTTCTCCTCAGCCTAAACCTACTTCAGTGGCGGGGAGGAAAAAATGAGAGCATTGTTGAGGGGAACATGCTCTGTGTGTGTGTGTGTGTGTGTGTGTGCGCGCGTGCGCATGTGTGGTAGGTATTAGGAATTGAACCCAAGACCTTCATACTGAGCTGTAGCCCCAGCCCGTTGTAATTTTTTTTTTTAATTTTTGAGACAGGGTCTCACTATTTGCCCAGGCTTGAACTTGTGATCCTCCTGCTTTAGTTTCTCAGAGTGCAGGGGGGCCAGGGATTTAGCTCAGTCGTTCCGGCACCTGTCATGCAAGCGCAAGGTCCCGAGTTCGATCCCCAGTACCAAAAAAAAAAAAAAGTGCAGGGATTCCAGGCATGCGCCACGATGCCTGCTTTGCTAAGGGATTATGTGCTTCTGACGTAGGGTGCACTTTTACAGGATGCCTACGATGTCACCAGGCAATATGATCTTTTTGTTTTGGCCCTGGGGGTTGACCCAGGGTCTCACCCATGGAAAGCATATGTTTTACCACTAAGCTGCACCTCTGCCCCTCTCCTTATTTTGAAGACAGGATCTCACCATGTTGCCCAAGCTGATCATGAACTCCTGGGCCCAAGCGATCCTCCTGCCTCAGCCTCCAGCATATAGAACATGGGACTATAGGCTTGTGCTTCTGCACCCAGCCAGGCAATATAATCTTTTTGGATCACCATCTCATATGTGGCCCACGGTTGACCAGAATATCATCAGGTGACACATGACTGTGAGAATTTGTGTACTTCTGTCTTGCTTGGTTATAAAATAACTCCAAAGTGGAGACAAGAAACAGGTCACAGTAGTGGCCTCTGGGAAGGGGAGCTGGCCAGTGGAGGTTGTACAAAAGTAGTTCCTGGCTGGGCATAGTGGCACACACCTGTAATCCCAGCACTCGGGAGGCTGAGGCAGGAGGATCACCGTGAGTTCAAGGCCAGCCTGGACTACATAGTGAATTCAAGCCCAGCTTGAACTACTTGTCTCAAAAAACCAAAAATAAATGAATAAAAGTAGTTCCCTACTGAAGGGTTCAATCCCTAGTATTGGGGGAAAAAAATACAGGTTAGTATGTCATCTGTGAAACATCATAATAAGAACCCTGACTGCTAAGTAGAAAAATATTGTAATTAAAACCAAGTAAGAGCTGGATGTGGTGGTGCACGCCTATAACCTCAACACTCGGAGGCTGAGGCAGGAGCATCACTGTGAGTTCAAAGCCGCCCTGAACTACATAGTAAGACCCTGTCTCAAAAAACAACAAAAAAAGAAAAGCAAAGAAGCTCTCCTGATTGGTTTATTTACACTCATGCCTGGCCTGAGCTGTATAGCTTGGGTGCTACACAAGGACGCCACATCTGGGGGCTCCATTTACAAGAGAGACACTGGAAATTTGTCCATTTATTTCATCAGATTTCTGACAAGTGGCTGTAAGGTGTCTGGCTCTCCAACAAAACAATTTTCCTGAAAAATAGAAGTGGCCTAAACTGACAGACAAATGCCCTAGGGGCTGGTGGTGGCAATGGGCCTGGCCTCACACCCACTGAATTGGGGCCCAGCCTTTGTGTACCCCTGACCGTTCACCCTGCAGTGGCCCCCCTGAGTGACAGAACAGTTTTCAGACATGGACGTACCTGCCACCGTTCCCCTTCCCCACCCTGTCCTAATCCCACCTGCTCCCCTGACCTCAGCTCCCTGCCCTGTGGCCCAGGATGGGGGTGTTCGCCGCTGACCCCTCTTCCCCACTTCTCTCCAGAACATTGACACCCTGGAGCGTGTGGCCGGCCTGGAGCCCGAGGACCTGGTGGAGGCCCACGGCACCTTCTACACATCACACTGCACCAGCCAGCTCTGCCGGCACGAGTACACACTGGGCTGGATGAAAGGTGAGGCTGGGGTCACCCAGGAGACGGCCTCGTGCTCATGTGGTGGCTACCAGCTCGGAAGGAGTTTTTAACTCGGCAGGGGGGTGGGAGGGAGCGGGGTGTGCGAGGGATTGAACCAAGGGCCTCCACACTAAGCTGCATCCCCAGACCTTTTTTTTTTTTCAATTTCTGAAACAGAGTCTCAATAAGTCACTTATTTGCCCAGGCTGAACTCAAACTTGTGATCCTCCTGCCGCAGCCTCCCTGAATGCTGAGATTACAGGTGTCCCCCACCACACATGGCTCTGTGGCTTTTTAATAGATAGAAACAGCACCGGAGATGTGAGGTGGTGGTTTTTCATTGGTGGGATTACATGTGCAGCACCATACCTGGCTAATTTTTTTTTTTTTGTACCGGGGATTGAACTCGGGACCTTCCACTTTTGAGGCAGGCAATGGAACCACTGAGCTAAATCCGCGGCCCTAATTTTCTTAAATTTTTATTCATTTAAATTATACAAGTGACATGTGGCTTTGGCTGCTACACTGAACAATGCAAGCACAATCAGGGGTGTGAAGTTCATCACAGCCCTGGTTAGGGACTCGGGCTGGGGCTGGCTCGAGGAGTACAGACTACAAGGCTTGCTGGAGTCATTGTCCCTGTTCATGTAAGGACAGAGTGTCCTCGAGAAACAACCGACCAGTCTGCATGCCTTGAGAGCCGCCTCTGACGGCACTGTGCTGTGTAAGAAGCCCTGTCTCACATCCAAAGCCCTCTCCGACCCTCCTTACACCAACTGAACAAAGCCACTGGTGTCCACATGAAGTCAGGAGAGTGGTGGAATCTGTAGTAGGGCCTGGGGAGGGTGGCCTTTCTGACAAAATGGCAGCTGACCGCCACTGGGCTGAGGAGTCATGAACAGCCCAACTGCACACAGCTGGGGTGACATACAATGGCCACCACCCATTACATCCCTCAGCATTGTTACCCACACTACCCACAAAATAGCCTGTTGTCCTTGCAGAAGTCTCCTAAATGGCAGCTTTGGATGCTATGCTCCATAGATGTGGGCTGAAGAGAATGAGAGGACAGTTGGGCGCATGCGTTCTGTTCTGTCCCCTTCCAAGCTCCCTTATCCTGCCTTAACAATAAGGCAGGCAGTTGTCACAGGATGAGGGTGGGAAGCAGCTGGGCCTAAGGATCTTTCCCCATCCTGGGGTTATCTGCGTGTCCTCCCTTCCCTGCTGCCAGCATCCTAGGCAATCACCAGGCCTCTCTGACTTGGGGGAGCTAGATCTATACCCCAAGACCCACTGGAAGAGCTTCACTCCCAGGTGGGGGCTCGGGGAACTCAGGTGCACCTGCCTCAGGGCAGGCAGCTGCTCCTACGTTCACTTTTTTATTTAAAATAGCTAGGGCTGGGGATTTAGCTCAGTGGCACCATGTCTGCCTGGCAAGCGCAAGGTCCAGAGTTCAATGCCTGGTACCAAAAAAAATTATTTTTTACATAAAATAAAATAGCAGTAAACAGTGGTACTGGGGGGAGGGACAGTTCTCTAAGAAGGGAGATCTTAGCCAGGCACTGTGGTGCACACCTATAACCCCACTACTGAGGAGGCTGAGGCAGGAGGATCATAAGTTTAGTATATGTGCTGCTGAAGCGAGCACTAGGAGGATCATAAGTTTAAAAAACAAAAGCCAGGAGTTTAGCTCAGTGGTGCCGCCGCCTGCCTCGAAAGCACAAGGTCCTGAGTTCAATCCCCAGTACCAAAAAAAAAAAGTTTAAGGCCAGCCTGGGCAACCCAGCAAGGCTGTCTCCGGAGGAAAAATAGAAAGGGCTGGGGATGTAGCTCCATGCAGAGGCCCTGGGTTCAATCCCCAGCACCACAGAAGGGAGGGCGGGAGCAGGGCAACACCCAGGAGATTCTCCCAGTGGCCAGGCGTTGGTGTTGGCAGCGGAGGGAGAGCAGGAGGGGACTGCAGCCCCAGCCCTAGCCTCATGCCCCCTTTCCCACTTGCCCACACCAGAGAAGCTCTTCTCGGAGGTGACCCCCAAGTGCGAGAAATGTCAGAGCGTGGTGAAGCCTGGTGAGCCTTGGGGTCAGGACCAGTGGGTGGATTTGGGCTGGGGTCCCCTCTCCCCTCTGTGCCCTCCCACAGGCCACACTCCCACCCAGCCCCCTTAGCTCCCCGACCAGTGCCCAGACCATCCTGGGCACAGTGGGTCCTGCCCCTCTGTCTCCATGTCACTGTCTCCTCTGGCTCTGGGCCCGTCTGTCTGCGCGTCTCCACCTCAGACATCATCTTTTTCGGCGAGAACCTCCCGTCTCGGTTCTTCTCCTGCTTGCAGTCAGTAAGTACTGGCTGCCTCGCCTGCCCTGGGGGAGGTTGCTCTGGGCCACTGTGGGGGGCTGGGCAGAGGCTTGGGGCTCTCACTGGCTGCTGCCCCACAGGACTTCCGGAAGGTGGACCTGCTCATCATCATGGGCACCTCGCTGCAGGTGCAGCCCTTCGCCTCTCTCATTGGCAAGTAGGTTGGGGTCAGGGCTGTGGGGGTGGCTGGGGACCAGGGAGCTGAACTGGGACAAATCATGACTCCCAAGCTCGCCATCCCCCAGAGCACCCCTGTCCACCCCTCGCCTGCTCATCAACAAGGAGAAGACTGGCCAGGTAAGTCACCTTGGCCACTGCCCCTACCTCTTCCCCTCCTTCCTCCCACTGGCTCCCTTGGGGTTGGGATGTCGAGTAAGGGGACAAGTCCTGCAGAGCTCCCAGCTGGGGAATGGCGGCCTTTAGACTCCTCAGCTCAGACCCTGTGATTTGAGAATGGGGAGGGTCAGGTTCTAGGCTACCCTGACTCTACAGGCCTCTGGGTCAGTTAGGAAGGACCCTTTTGAACATGTGACAGGATCCCAACTCAAATCTGTTGAAGCTAGGTGTCGTGTCCCCTAGGAACACAAAACCAGGGCAGGGGACAAGGCACAACGGGACGCAGGGCCTCCCACAGTGCAGTGGCCCTGCCCTCTTTCTCCTGGCTGTCCCTGGGTGGCCTCCCACCCAGGCAGCACTCCCTGCTGAACCTGCTGGGAAGAAGGCCCTCGGGGAGCAAGTCTCCTGACAGGGAAACCGGGCAGACACAGTCATTCCATGGGCCACACAGTGTTCCATTTGACAGTCATCCCTTGGTACCTGAAGGGAACAGGCTCCAGGATCCTTTCAGATGCATAAATCCAAGCATGCTTAAGTCCCTTACATGCAGTGAAGTATAACCTACATACATCCGCCCATATATTTTAAATCCTGTCTATGTTACTGTCATAGCTAACACAGTGTCAATGCTACATAGATAACTTGTACTGTACTGTTTAGGGAATAAGAAAAGAAGGTGCAGTTGGGTATAGAGGTGCACGCCTATAATCCCATCTCTCTGGGAGACTGAGGCAAGAGGATCGAAAGTTTGAGCCCAGGCTGGGCAACCAATTTTTTATTTTATTATATATATTTTTTGGTACCGGGGATTGAACTTGGGTCCTTGTACTTTCGAGGCAGGTGGCGGAACCACTGAGCTAAATCCCCGGCCCCTGCAACCAATCAATTTAGGGAGACTCTGTCTCAAAAATAAGAAATGAAAACAAAAGTCCAGGGGAATAGCTCAGTCCAAAGGCTCTAGGTTCAATCCTTGGTATGGAAAAAAAAAATGGGGGGGTGGGGCTGAGACGGGAGGATTGTAGTGTTTGTTTTCTAAATTTTGCTATGTAATTCAGCCAGGCCTTGAACTCACTATGCAGCCTAGGCTGGCGTCCAACTCCCACCGATCCTCCTGCCTCAGCCTCCTGAGTGCTGGAATCATAGGTGTGTGCCACCTCACCTGATTATAAGTGGGTTTTTTTGTTTTGTTTTGGTACCAGGGATCGAACTCGGGACCTTGCGCTTGCAAGGCAGGTGCTGGAACCACTGAGCTAAATCTCCAGCCCTGTTTTGTTTTTTCTTGAGACAGGGTCTCACCATGTAGCCCAGGGTGGCCTCCAACTCCCAGCAATCCTCCTGCCTCACCCTCCTGAGTGCTTAGATTACAGGCATGCCCCACTGTGCCTGGCTTCAGATTGTAGATTTGAGTCTGGCCTGGGTAATTTAGTGAGACCTTGTCTGAAAAAAAAAAATTGCAGGGCATGATGGCACTGTGCCTATAATCCCAACACCCTAGAGGCTAAGGCAGGAGGATCACCCCGAGTTCAAGGCCAGCCTGAACTACATGGTGATACCCTGTCTCAAAAACCAAAAATCAATCAATCGATCAAAAAAGGCTGGGAATATAGTTCAGTGTGAGGACTCTGGGTTGAATCCTCAGTACTGGAAAAATTAAAAGTGTTTATGTTAAGTGCAGACACCATTTTTTGTTTTGTCTTGTTTTTGATTTTTTTTTTTTTTGGTACCGGAGATCGAACTCGGGACCTTGCACTTTCAAGGCAGGCAGTAGAACCACTGAGCTAAATCCTCAGCTTGTTTTTTATTTGAAATAGTATCTCACTATGTAGGCCAGACTGGCCTCAAACTCGTGGCTGTCCTCCTACCTCAGTCTCCTGAGTGCTGGGATTACAGGCATGCACCACCATGCCTGGCAGAAACCATTTTTAAAAAACTCTTTTAGCTGGGCCTGATATGGTGATGCAAACTTGTCATCTCAGCACTCGGGAGGCTAAGGTAGGACAGCTGTGAGTTTGAGGCCAGCCTGGGCTACATTGTGAGACCCTGTCTCAAAAGAAAAAAAAAAAGAAAAGAAATTCTTTTAGCTCACAGTGTGAATCTGCAGGTGCAGAACGAGTGATATGGAGAGCCCGCTTATACAGTTAAGTTTTAACTCACTGACACCACTGTCCTATTGGGGTGTACAGATACACCACATTGTACAGACAAGGAAACCGAGACACAGGGAGGCCCAGCAGTGACCTGAGCAGAGTCACAAAGCTGGGATGCAGACCCAGGCCAGTGCTCTTCCTCTCCTCTCCCCCGCAGACTGACCCCTTCCTGGGAATGATGATGGGCCTGGGAGGAGGCATGGACTTTGACTCCAAGAAGGCCTACAGGTGAGGCTGGCCTGAGCCGAGCTGCCGAAGGGAGGTGTAAGGCGGAGACGGAGGGATGGAGGGGAGGAAGAGCTGGAACTCTGACTCTCCCACCTACACCACAGGGACGTGGCCTGGCTGGGTGACTGTGACCAGGGCTGCCTGGCCCTCGCCGACCTCCTTGGATGGAAGGTGAGGAGCTAGGCGACCCCTGCCCACCCTAAGCCCAGTACGTGGGCCCCACGCCTGCCCCACAGGTGTATGGTGACCTCTGACTACTGCACACTTTGGCCCTGCAGAAGGAGCTCGAGGACTTGGTCCGGAAGGAGCACGCCCACATAGATGCCCAGTCGGGGTCCAGCACTCCCAACCCTACCACTGCAGCTTCCCCCAGGACATCCCCACCTCCTGGCAAGGCAGAGGCCAAGACCACAGATGGGGAGAAGCCCCAGTGACAGCCCACCACCCCTGCAGGACACCCAGCTGCTCTGGGACAGTGGAGCCCCAACAGCAGCGCCAGCCCCCTCTAACTTGGAGCCCTTATCGGAAGAGCTCAGTCCACCCCTTCAGGCTCTAACCACCCCTCCTGAAACTGAGGCCCCAGCTGCTCCCCACTGGATCCCAGCAAGTCTCTAACATCCCCTAGGAGCCAAGGTCCGAGCAGCCTGTCTCTAACAGCCCCTTCTCTAACCGCCCCAGGGCTAAGAAGCAACCTCTCTTGATCTCTAACTGCTCCCAGGGGCACCCCAAAACTCCTAACTGTCTCAGGACAGGGGGCTGAGGGCCCCCTACTCTCTCTACTGCTCCCAGGGGCTTGTGGCCAAGTAGACCAAATCTAACCTACCCCAGATGGGGTGTCAGCCCTCCAAGTACAACACACATCCATCCCATGGGTGTGGGGAGCATTCTGAGCCTGAAGGGCTCTCAAGGCTCTGCCACCAACACCCAAGATGGGTGCTGGGCCCCTTTCCCTTGGGACCCACTTCCCACATGGGGTGGGCAGAAGACGTTGCTTATTGGAGATAAATTAAAAACAAAAAACCAACTAACCATTAGCAGTCTGGCCTCTCTGTTCCTTTCTCGGCATCTGAAGCAGCTGGAGGGAGAGTGTGAGGTCTTGGGCCACCCAGGATGCCAGAACATCTCCAGTCTCTTGGGAGCAATAGCGAGGGGTGCTGAGAGGGGCCCCACAGGTAACTCTCAGGCCTAAGCCCCAGAAAGGAGGAAGGTTCATTGCAGATGGCCCCAGCTCCGCCTCTTCCCCTGCCTGTTCAGCTTCCTCTCTAGAGAACACTTTCACTTCCTGTTGCTCCGGGCCTCCCCTTGGGAACAGGTAGGGCCCCCAGGGACCCAGCAACTGGCATCTTCACCCCCAGCTGTCACCCTTTGGTATGGGGCAGCCACTCCTCTCAGCTCTGCCCAGTGCCACCCATGTCCTCCTCCCCTTCCCAAGGGCCATGGGTGGACATCTGCTCCTCTCCACCCTCCTTCCTGCTGTCCCCTGCCCTCTTCCTTTCAACACCCTGGGTGATGAGGCAGTGGACTGACGTATTTATTTGGCTATGTCTTACCTGTATTGCAACTCCTCAAGAAAAGAAAAAAAAAACAGGAATGGCAACCCATAGAGCAAAGGTCTGTCCTGTTCTTCACCTGCCCCAGGGTACTGGCACCTACTTCTGGGCCTGTGCTCAACTGGATGCATGGATGGATTCAGTCTCCCTTTCCAGACCCAGGTCTCCTATTGCTGAGACTGCTGTGGGGAAAATACTTGAGTGCTTACCCTAGTGATGATCCCTCACAGGACTCTGTACCTGGCTAAGAACTGGGGCCTGATGGGGAGAGGAATAGGTAGTGAAAAAGCAAATAGGAGTCAAATGTTCATGGCAGAATCCAGCCAGTGGCATACAGATGTTCCCTAGGAAATTCAGTTTTTCTGTATATTTGTACATTTTTTTTTAGTTTGGTACCAGGGATCGAACTCAGGACCTTGTACTTTCGAGGCAGGCGACAGCACCACTGAGCTAAATCCCTGGCCCTGTTTGTAAATTTTTATAAGACAAAGCTGAAAGAAAATATCCTGGGTGGTCCCCTGCTATGGTCTGGGAAGGGAGAAGGAGGGCATGTTGTGCTATGGGCCAATAGCTTTTCCAGGCTCTGGATTTTAGCAAGGGTCATTATTGAGCTGGTCCACATTTGTATGGATGCCCCAGCTGTGAAAATCTTGGGACTGTTCTCTACCCCTTGGCAAACAGTTGTGAGTCCTTTCCCCAACCTAAGACACACAGGCCTTTCTCTTGGGGTCCCCAGATTCCCCCAACACCAGCTTCTAAAGAAATAAGCCCTAGCACAGCTGGGTTCCACCAGGGCCCATTCTGTAGCTCAGGGTTTCCCCATAGTGGTTGTAAATATTTTGCATTTTATCCCGGGAGTAGGGAAGCCTTGAATCTTGTCTTCCCCTCTCCCAGAGGCCAGACCATGGCTCCCTGGCTTCTGGCACCTTGAAGATGGCCCACCCAGAGGACATGGCCTCTGAAGTCCCCAGCGAGGGGCAGAGGTGAGGGCTGCTGGGACACAGCATTCCCCTTCCTGCCCCTGATCCAGAACTCCTTCCATCCAGTGCTACCCTCCAGGACCCTGAGCCCACCCACCTCTGACTCTCTGTCCCCGGGCAGCCCCTTCTGCACCTTCAGCCCCACTTCTGTGTCCGACCACCCACCTCCGACCCCTAACCTCCTGGACCCTGCACATCCCAGGCTGGTCCTACTGCAGACTAATGGAGCAGGTGAGACCCCTCCAGAGGTCCTCAGCAACCCAGAGGCACTTCTTCGTCTTCGGAGGACACGGGGGGTGTGGCAGGTCCCAGAGCTGGATGCCCAGGATGCAGAGGCCCTTATGGTGCAGTGGCCACTGGGGGTGAGTACTCACAAGCAGGAACCTGTCCAGCCTCTCCGACACGCTGGGTCAGCCAGAACCATTTTTGGTTGGCAGCAACAAACAGCACAAATTGGGAAAATCCCAAAAGTTACACATTGATTCAAATGGCAGAAAAGTGCAGAAGTAAAAGTAGTTTCAGGAAGGTCTGGATCCCACAGGTCACACATCTTGTGGATTTCTCTGCATCCCATTTCTTGGCTTGGCTTTCATTGTCGGGGAACTCTGGGTGTTTAGGGCTGCAAGTAACAAACACCCATTCTATAGCGGCTTCAACAATAAGGCGTTGATCTGTCCAGCACAGCCAGAAAGGCAGCTGCCAGCTCAACTTCAGCTGCTCAGTGACATCAAGGCCAGCTGCTCCACAACTCCTGGGACTTCCCTCACGGTCACCCAGGGACTGTCCCAGGGCTGTCACATGTACAGCCCAGGCAGGAAGCAAGGACACACCAGCTGCATCTGTTTCTTTGACCAGGAAAAGTCCAGGCTGTGCCAATTGATACACAATTCATGGCTGGGGTCCAGGAAGCGAGGTTTTTAAAAGGTCACCCAGTAATACCCATAGCTGAGAACCACCTCTCGCCTCTGTATTTACCCATCTCTTATGCTTAGTACATTCATCCTTGAACAAGGACTTCCCCAAGGAACATGGGGTTGATTTGGAGAGGACAACTGACAGGGCCTACCACAGCTTCCTCCTCAGGAGGGCACTGTCCCTGTGGGGGCATAATGCCTATCCCCACCTCATGTGCCATCCAACCAGCTTAGCAACCCTAGTGTGAAGAGACTGTTTGGGGCAGAGAAGTGGCTCATTGGTTTTTGGGGATTTTTTTGGTACCGAGGATCGAACTCCAGACCTTGTGCTTGAGGCAGGTGGCGGCACCACTGAGCTAAATCCCCGGCCCAGTGGCTCATTGGTAGTGTGGTTGCCTGGCATGTACAAGGCCCTGGGTTCCAACCCAGCACTGCCAACAGAAAGAAAAGCTGGGTGAGGCCATTCCATTGGCCAGCTCAGGTACGGGCCTGCCCCCTAGGCTTGGGAACCTCAGTCCCACCCTCAGGGACTGAGTGCAGGGAGTTAGCCTAAGGAAAAGGGTGCCAGGCAGTCAAAAATAAACATCTACACACACCTTCCTCAAACTGACCTTTACCTCCACCCCCTAGAGTTTCCTGGTCACAGGCCCTGACTCCAGCCAGGCCCTGGTACTGAGGACTTCACTGGAAGAAATCAACACTTATCAGATCCAGAAGTTGCCTGGAGGTGAGGGTCCTATTCTAGGCTTCCAGTCCAAAGCAAACATGTCATCAAGAACTGTCAGCTTTACTTCCAAAATACCTCCTGCTCTCTCCGCTGGCACCCTTTCCTCCTCTTCCTCCTTTTTTTTTTCCAGACAGGGTCTCACTATGAAGTTCAGGCTGGGTTTGAACTTACCATGTAATCCAGGCTGGCCTTGAACTCGAAGCAATCCTCCTGCCTCAGCCTCCCTAGTGCTAGGATTACAGGCCTGTGCCATCACACCTGGCTCATCCTTTCCCTCTTGCAACCCACACTGGGCACAGCAACCAGGTGGTATTGCATGCCCTCCCCCAAACCCTGAAAAGAACAGGCCACCTCCTTAGATACAAATGCAAGTTCAGCGTGGCCTGTAAGATGCTGTGTGACCTAGCCCTGTCTTCATCTTCTCTTCATCTTCATCTACCTCTTCATCTTCTGCCCCAGTACATGTTCTCCTCTGTCCCCTGAGTGTACTAAGTATGGGCCAGCTGCAGGGCCTTGGATTTTGTTCTCCCTGCAGGAATTCTCTTCCTGGGGTAGTTGATTTAGTCTCCACACTTTGGACCTTTATAGAAATGTAACTTTCCTTGGTTGCCACTGTTCAGATAGCTCCTACTTGTCTTTATTCATCCCTTTTCATTAGTACACTGTATACAATATGCATATATGTTTATTCATCTGTCTCCCGTGACTAAAAGGGAAGGAAAGAGAGTGAATTTGTCTCCTGTTGGACAATTGTATCCTTAAATGCCCAGTAACAATTAGGTGTTTAATAAATATTTGTCTTAACTGAATGTGGTGGTGCCTGCCTGTAATCCCAGCACTCTGGGAGGCTGAGGCAGGAAGATTCCAAGTTAGGAGCCCAGCCTGGACAATTTAGTGACTTAAAGAGAGCCTGTCTTAAAATAAAAAATGGCTAGGGATCTAGCTCAGTGTGAAGGCTCTAGGTTCAATCCCCAGTACCTAAAGAATTATCTATTAAATAAATCCTATTTGGTGGCATAAGTGGGATCCAAGAATCAAGATGAGAAAGAGATGAGAACTCCAAGGAGATGGAAACATCTCTGTTGTGAAGATCCCTGTGGGGGATTTCAGAGATGTGGGAAGAGAGAGCCCCATGGGGGAGAAGGCTGGCACCCCTCAAGTTTTCTTTCTCATCCCTCCTTGCCTCCTCACCCCAGGTGTGTCCTTGGCATCCTCCAACCTCTGCATGCCAGACCTGCCCCATCTTCTGGCCTTCCTCTCAGCCAGCAGGTACAGGCCACCCATCAACAGGGATAAGGAGGACCCTTCCCCAATGCCCATCCACAGTGCCAGCTCTCTTCTGTCTTCTCAGGGATGTTCTCCCCAGAACACTGGTCTTGCCCTCTCCCACTCCAGTGCCTGGAGACAGACACACGGGTGAGGCACAGTTCTTGAAGGAAAGCTCCCTAAGCCCTGGCAATGAGACTGGACATGAGGGACCTGACTACTGGTCTGAAGGAGGGCAGAGCTGGGGGTCAGACAGGGAGGAGGGGATGGGAGCCTGGACTCCTGGGTCCTTAGGGAGGAGACAGTTGAAGGATGGAGCTGGGGGGACTCAACTCCTGGGCCTGAGTGAGGAAGGCTGAGAACTGAGTCTCCTCGTAGCCTGAGAAGACCAGGGTTGGCCCTCAGACTCCTGGGACACCCTCTCATTTCTGCTGGCCCTCAGATCCTCTGCAGGTTGGCAGGGTTCAGGCTGACACCTCGGGAAGGGTGCTTTCTGTAGTAAACCAGCTTTACCTGTACACCCACGGAGGCTGGGGGCAGAACCAGATACCGGAAGAGACTGCTCAGGGCCACGGTCCAGGTGAGTGGCAGGGCATGGGCTCCTGAGGGATGAGGGCAACTGTTCCAAGGCACCCACCCGCTTCCCCTCATCCAGCCCACAGGATCCCTGCCCTGCACCGCATATCCTGGGTGGAAGGACCGCCTAGCCCAGAAGTGCACCATCCTCAGCCTGCTCTGGGCAGTCTGGTAGAGAAGGAACAACAGGAAGACGACAACTACAGAGATGAAGAGGAAGACGCCGAGGATGAGCTCACTGCTCACGTCCTCGCTCTGGCCAGGGCTCGGAACAGCTACGTGGCCAGGCAGTACCGGGCCCTCCAGGCACGCCTCACCTCGGATTCCGGGGGTCCCCACAGGCCTGGGGACCCGGCCACGGAGCTGCTGCAGGATGTGCGGCACCTCCTTATTGACCTCCAGGATTACTTGGCAAAGGACCCCGACATGAGAGGTGTCTTTGGGAGCAGGGGGCCTCGGGTCCCCCAGAAGGGCCAGTATCTTGGTAAGGGGGAGAACTAGAAGGGAAGCCCTGCAGGCTTAGGCATACTGTCGCTTGGCCTCGCACAGGTGTTCACCGCCAAGTTCTTTGTCCCCACGGGCGTACACACTTGTGGCCTCTTCCACTCGCATGCCCTTTCCAACCTAGACCAGCGCCTGCTAGCCTCCCGCCCCGTCTCACGCGTGCGTATGTGCATTGCCTGACCCCAAGCGCGTGTTGGGACCTCTGGCTACAGCGGTGGGGGCCAGATGGGTCTGCTCAGCAGCTCCGCCCTCACCCGCCCCGTGCCCCACAGGCCCTGCAGTAGAGGCGGCCGTGTGCCGGGCGGTGCTCTCGCCCCTCAAGCCTGCCCTGTGGACGCGACTGCGCACGCTCCGCGCCCAGGAACTGCGCCGACTGCGGCGGCGACAAATAGCCCTGCGGGCGGGGGCGGGGCCAGAGGGACAGTGCCCCGCCCCCGCCCTGCGGAGCCGCATCCACGCGCGCCTCGCGCACCTACACGCCGCGTGCTCCCCGCGCCGCAAGGTGGCGCTGCTGCTGGCGGTGTGCAGTGACGTCTACGCGGGCCTGGCGGGCGAGAACCAGGGTAAAGGAGGGGCAGGCGTCTGCCGGGGTGTGGAGTGGCCAAAAAGTACAAGGCGCCTGTGGGAGCGTCGCGTGGAGTGAGAGGGCAGGCCCTGGTGGCAGGTGCCTATGGGGACCTGGGAATCGGATGAAGGTGTCTGCGTGCCCCAGTCACCTCAGGACCTGACCTCTGGCTTCCCTAGAGCCCCTAGGGGCAGACGCCTTCCTGCCCGCCCTGACCGAGGAGCTGATCTGGAGTCCGCACATCGGGGAGACTCAGCTGGACGTGGAATTTCTTATGGAGCTCTTGGATCCGGAGGAGCTTCGGGGAGAGGGTGAGCCTACACTTCCACCAGGGCCGCAGGAGGACAGGCGAGCAAGCCGCAGGGGCACTCTGGGTGACCGGGAACTCCCCTTCTCACCCTAGCTGGGTACTACCTGACCACGTGGTTCGGAGCGCTGCATCACATTGCCCACTACCAGCCCGACGAGGGCCGCGCCCCCCGGGGTCTTAGCTCGAAGGCCAGCGCCTCCCTGCGCCAGTGGCACCGCCGACGGACGCTGCACGAGCAGAACCTGTCTGGAGATCAGGTACCGCCTGTCTGGAATGCAGGTGGCAGGAAGGGTGGGATCCACCACCCTTTGACACCCCCCTTCCACCTCTCTCTGCAGGCCGACCTGCCTTTTGAGGAGCCGTGGGCAGTAGGGACGGTGACTGTACCCCATTGATGATTAGGGCTCTCAGTCCCTCTGCTTGCTTGCTTCAAGCAAGAGGCAGGAGGCAGCTGGGACAACTACACGTGGTTTAGGGGCAGCAAGGAGGAGGGGGCTCAGGAAAAGGGGCCTTTCCCTTGGGTGTTCTGCTGCCTGGCATGCCCTTCCCTGATATCCACAGTGGTCCTCGCTGGGACCCTGCAGGTCCTGAGGCGGATATGACCTCAGTGAAGCTCTCCCAGACTCAGTGGCCTAAAATCCAGCCCCTCCCCACGTGGCCCATCCTGTGATAGGCAGAATAACGCTCCCCCGAAGATGTCCATATCCTCATCCCCTTAATCTGTGGTAAAGGGGGCTTTATGGGGTGATCACATTAAGGACCAAGATGAGGTTACCCTGGATTCTGGTGGCCCTGTGCAGTCACGAGGGTCCTTGTAAGAGGCAGGAGGGAGGGCCGGGGATTTAGCTCAATGGTTCCGCCGCTTGCCTCGAAAACACAAGGACCCTAGTTCGATCCCTGGTACCAAAAAAACAAAACAAAAAAAAAAAGAGGCAGGAGGGAAAGAGGATCCATACGACCAAGAACCAAGAAAAATGCAAAAGCTGAAAAAGGCAAGAAATGGAGTCCCCTTCAGAACCTGCAGGAGGAGCTGTCCAGCTCTTGATTTTAGACACCTAACACCGGTTTTGGACTTATGATCCCCAAAGCTGTAAGATAATAAAACTGTGGTTTTATAAAGCACTAAGCTTGTGGCAAATCATTACAGCAGTGATAAAACACTCTCCTTTACTCTAATTTTTTTCTAAAACACCATATATTTATTTATTTTGTTAATTTCCACAATCTTCTGCTTAGGATAGCACTTTCCAATAAAAATGCAATGCAAGCTTTGTATATAATTCTAAATGTTCTAGAAACTGTATTTTTTTAAAAACTAAAAAGAGGACTCAGGCCTAGCTCAGTGGAAGAGTGCCTGCTTAGCATACTGAGTTCCATCCCTAGCACACACCCCTAAAAAGAAGCAGTGAATTAAATTTAATAATTTATTTAACTCAATATATCCCAAATATATCACTTGGACATATAATCAATATTTTAAAATTGTTGATATATTCAACACTCACTTAGATGATAAGTCTTTGAAAACCAGTTCAGTAAATACTTTGTAAATGAACCAGTGAGCAATGTTTCTGTAGTAGATGACAAATGGCCTCCCAAAAGATACCCAAGTCCTAGTCTCTGCAATCCATGAATGTTACCTTATTTAGAAATAGTGTCTTCCTCACTGTTAAGGATCTTAAAATGGGGGAAATTCGCCAGGATTGTCAATGTTGGCCCCAAATGCAGAGGGAAATGTGACACAAACAGGGGAAGGTGATGTGAGGACAGAGCAGAAATGTTCAGAGATGCTATCTTTGAAGACTGAAATGATGTAGCCACGAGCCATGATGCCAGCAGCCACCAGAGCTGGGGCAGGGAACAGAGCCTGGGTTCACCCCTGGAGCCTCCAGAGTGAGCCTGGCTCCACCAACATCTTGATTTCTGTTTCACATATGCTGATTTCAGGCTTCTGGCCTCAAGAATTATGAGAATAAATTTCTACTCTTTTAAACCACCAAAATTGTATTCATCTGTTATTACAGCCACTGGAAACTAATAGTTTCTTAGCTCTTAATATACAAAAAAGAAACAGGAGTCAAATTGATACTCAACTTAGTCATTTTCTAGGGACAAGGGACCTTGACCCACAGATACAGGAATTAACTAGAAAAACAGGGAAAGCTCATCCAGTTCACCTCAGAGATGCACTGCCATTAAAATATTACATTTTGGGCTAGGGATTTACCTCAGTGGCACTGCACCTGCTTCAAAAGTGCAAGGTCCTGAGTTCAATCCTTGGTAGCAGAGGGGGAAAAAAAAGTTTAAAAAATTACATTTTAAGCTGGGTGTGGCAGTGCATGCCTAAAATCCCAGGATTCTGGAAGGCTGAGGCAGGAGGATTGAGAATTGGATCCCAACCTGGGCAACTCAGCAACCTAGTGAGACCCTATCTCAAAAGAAACAAAGAAAAAAGAAAAGGAAGGAAGGGAAGAGAGACAGAGAGAGAGAGAGAGAGAGAGAGAGAGAGAGAGAGAGAGAGAGAAAGAAAAGAAAGAAAGAAAGAAAGAAAGAAAGAAAGAAAGAAAGAAAGAAAGAAAGAAAGAAAGAAAGAAAAGAAAGGGGCTGGAGCTATAACCCAGTGTGAAGGCCCCAGTACTACAACCGCAAAAATTACATTTTATCAAGGGAGGAGGTGTACAGAGAGGATGGTTAATGGGTACAGTGGCTCAGTTGGATAGGAGGAATCACTTCTCATGTTCTGAAGGGGGTGAGTAACTGTGGTTGACAACAATTAATTGTGTATTTCAGATGGCTGCTAGAGCAGATTTTCAATGTTCCCAGCGCAAAGAAATAGTAAATATTTCAGAGGGTAGGTATGTCAATTACCTGATCTGATCATTACACATTGCATATACCTGTTTTATGGTACCACAGTATACTCCATGAATATGTACAATTATTATATGTCAACTAATTTTTTTTGAAAATTAAATTTTTATATTTTATAATGATCAATTTTGTAATTTTAGGTATCAGCTTAAAAAATGCCAGGAAATAACGTTTTTTTGCTTGTTTTTTATTTTTTTGTGAGTGGGTTTTTTGGGGGGTTTTTTACACTGCGAGTAGAACCCAGGGCCTTCCCACTGAGATACATCTCCAGCTCTTTTTTAATTCTTTATTTTGAGACAGGGTTTGCTAAGTTGTCAAGGTGTCCAGGCTGAGCTCTGACTTGCAATCCTTCTGCCTCGGCCTCCTAGAGTGCTGGGATTACAGGCTATGCCACCTGGGCTTGGCTTCACAATTGTTTTGAAAGCTAAAAAGCTCAAGGGAGCTATGCTGGGCAGCAAAGCACAAAGCAGCTCTTGGGAGACTGCAGTGTGATTTCCGCTTTCAGTTTGTACAGAACTGAAGGGCACCAGACCCCAGGGGACCAGAAGGAATCCCTCTCCTCCTTCCGGGAGAAGAAGCCAGGGAACAAGACAGGGGCCAGGAATTTCACTGTGTTTATTTATGTATGTATTTATGATTGCTTTTATTTTCTTTTCATAGTGTTGGGATGGAACCCAGAGCCTTGCATATGCTAAGCAAGCACTTTACTACTGTGCTATACCCTCAGTCCTTGTGTATTTATTTTTATTTTTTATTTTTGGCACCGGGGATTGAACTCTAGACCTTGCGCTTTCGAGGCTGACGTCTGAACCACTGAGCTGAATCCCCGGCCCTGTATTTATTTTTAAACTGTGGCAAAAAAATAACATTTTCTATCCTAACTTTTAATTTGTTATTTTTAATTTTTCATGGGTTTAACAGTATAAATTTTATTATTTATTTTTGGGTGTTTACTTGTTGTTTTGAGACAAGGTCTTGCTATGTAGTTCAGACAGGCCTTGAACTCAAAGTGATCCTCCTGTCTCAGCCTCCCAAGTGCTGGGATCACAGGTGTGGGCCACCACAGCTGACACCTTTAACTATATTGCATTCATATTGGTTTTTAACAGATCTCTAGAACTTTTTCATCCTGCAAAACTGAAACTGTACCCATTGAACACAACTCCCTATCTCCTCCTCCCTCCAGCCGTTCAAAACCACCATTCCACCATGAGTTTTTGTTTTGTTTTGTTTCAAGATGCTTTCATGATGCAGTCCAGCCTGGCCTAGAACTTGTGATTCTCCTGCCTTAGCTTCCCAAGTGCTGGGATTGTTTTCACGATTTTGATTACTCTAGATATCTCATGTAAGTGGAGTCATACAGTAAGACTGGCTATTTCATCCACTATAATTCCTCCAGGCTCACTAGTTATAGAGCATGTTATAAGAGTTCCTTTTTTTTAAAGATTGAATAACATTCCATTATATGTGTACACCACATTTTTCTCCCCACTCATTCATCAGTGCACATGTGGCCTGCTTCTACCTCTTGGTTAGTATGAACAGAGGTGCAGTGGGTGTGCAAATGTCTTTCCAAGACTTTGCTTTCAGTTCTTCTGGATGAATACCCGGAAATGGAATTGCTGGATCATATGAGCCCCCTATTTGCTCCTCAAAGCCACCAGGCCCTGCCCACCTGCCTGGATTTCCCTTGGCCTTGATCAGCTTTTCCCAGGTGTGTGCACCTGACTCCCTCACCGCTCAGATTTTGGCTCAGCTGTTGCCTCTCTGCGACTTGTTTAAAAGTGCTGTTTTAGCTGGGTGTGGTGGCTCATACCTGTGATCCCAGTAGTCATGAGGCTGAGGCAGGAGGATGACCACAAGTTCAAGGCCAGTCTGGGCTACATAGTGAGTTCAAGGCCAGCCTGAACTACATAGCAAGACCCTGCTTTGGATAACAAAAAACAAAACAAGCAAACAAAAGTTCTATTTTATTATTTATTCATCTGTTGCAGTACTGAGAGTGGAACGCAGGGTCTTGCACATGCAAAGCAAGTGCTCTAACGCTGAGCTACATCCCCAGCCCTCCTTTTTATTATTTTTTATCTGATACTACATAAAAGTCAATGGTTCTCAGAAGCAACTGGTTACAAGGTGCAAATTCCAGAAATAAACCCTGGCATATATGCTCAAATGATTTTTTACGAGGATGCCTAGAATATTTGTTGGAGGAAACAACAGTCTTTATAACAAATGGCATTGGGAAAATTGGGTGGATATCTTTGTACAAAAGAATGAAGTCAGGGGTGTTGTGTACAGCTCAGGGGTAGAGTGTAAGTTTCTATATTCCCTGGGTTCAATCCTCAGCAAGGAAAAAAAAAAAAAGAACAAAGTCAGAGTCTTACCTCACATGATACAGAAAAACGAACTTGAAATGGATCAAGGACTTACATGTAAGAGCCAAAACAATAAAACTCTTAGAAGAAAACTGTGGGGGCTGGGGATTTAGCTCATGGTGCCAAGCACATGGTACCAAGTTTGATCCCCGGTACCAAAGGAAAGAAAGAAAACAAAACAAAACTGAAATAAAAAGAAATATCTCTATGTGTGCATGTATTTGCCCCCAGTTCCCAGCACAGAGCCTCATTTCCTGGGCGGTTGGAGGGTCCTTCATTCTAAGGAGACCCTTGGTGAGGTCTCCAGCAAGACCAAGCCACAATCACAAGCTTGGAACTTCCAGCCTGACTCTCTATTATTCAGAAAAGGGAACTAGTACTAACAATCAGTGATGTTTACTGATGAATCCTCCACAGAAATTCCTAAACTGTAGGGTTCAGAGACTGGGTTTCCAGACTGTCAAACACATAGGTCTGCCAGGAAGGTGCCCCCAACTACAGGATGAAGGCTCCTGCTCTGGACGTCCTCCCAGACCTCCTCTGTGCACCTCTTCATCCAGCTGTTCACCCGTACTCTTCATCACACCCTTTAGGAATACTAATGCCCCTCAGTTTAGTTTTCGGTTACGGGGCCAGGGATGTAGCTCACCAGCACAGTGCCTGCCTGGCAAGCACAAGGTCCTGAGTTCAGTCCCCAGTACCAACAAAAACCAACCCACCTAGGTTGGGGTTACATCTGAATAAACCATACTTGAGATGTCATAAAGTGAGAACATACTGACCACTCCCAACCTCCTAAGCATGCTAGATGAGCACCCCAGGATGATGCACAGGACCCCGTTATTTTCCCTCATGATTTTGGGGCCAACTGGGGGC